TTGAATTCTTAATAAATTTATTTTTCTTTTGATTGAAACTTTGAAAGTCAGGCCTATCATCTTTTTGTAGTTCTTAAATATCGTCCAGATCATTAATAAAGCTGTAGCAGTATAGCCACGGTGTTTTACTTTTTACCTACGCAGGTTACAACATACAAATTACAATTAGGATGGTAGAAATAGTTGTTACAAATAGGCCAAGGAGTCGGAGTCGGAAGCATAAAAATTTGAGGAGTCGGAGTCGAAGGTTTTGTCTTCGACTCCACAGCCCTGATTTCTACAGTAATTATACAAATTCTCGAGGAGACGTCTGACAAAAAAAAAAAAAAATAAATAAATAAAATTAAAATTAAAAAATCCTACCATTTGATACATATAAAGTGAACAGCCAAAATAAAAATACCAGTATTTCAATTGCTGCTCACTTGAAACATACCTGTACAACTGCTTTCCAGAAATCCTTGGCCTCAATCCGGTGACAGTCATCACACATCTGGCCCACTACTACAAATTCTACTACAAAGTCTTGTTGAAGGACAGCCCCAGCCTGGATTTCCTTTTGTACTGCAAGTTTTACCTGAAAAGAGTATCAAAACAAGTCATTCAATTCTTGCAGTTTAATTTAGTTGAGAAAAAAAAGATGCTTTTTACCAATTGCCAATCTGGATTCAATCATACAATACTTTAATAGCTATTACTCAATTTGAGATTAATATACTAGAAGAACATACATAGTACTGTATACTACATATATAAATACTGCACATTATAATAAAAGTTACCTTGATTCTTTTAGAATGTGGCTCTGTCCATGCAAAGCCTGCATCAACCAGTCGCACTTTGTTTAATCCTTTGATCTTCTTTAAACACAACCTCAATAGCTCCTTTGATTCTAGAGGTGCCAGTACCCACATGGTTGGAGGATCCAAGTATCTTTCACATCCCCGGCAAAAGTAAAGATTATTCTGCTTTTGAATTCCCTCTGAAATATCGTTGCGAGCTCGTATGCAAGCAATACAGCGATTTGTAGGGTTTGGCTGTATCTGGGCTCCACAGTCACAACACAGGCTGAAAGGAAATTTAAAAAAAAAATTAGTCCAAGAAAAAATCTTCAGGTAATTTCAAAGGCATACTCTTAAACTGTGCTCCGTGATCCAATTTAAAAAAATTCCCTTACTTCTTAAGCACCAAGTTGCCGTATCAATTTCATTACTTTACTTGGTCAATATTCAGAAAGTGTCACCAGGGACCTGAGTATTAAGTCATATATGGGGAGATGGAGAACAAATAAATAAAACTAATTTATTCTATAACATTTCCGTCAGAAATGTATTGTTCTCGAGTAAAAGAAAAAAAAAGTACTGTATAGGGCCCCCCCCCCCCAACTTACGGGGGTTAGGTTTTCAAAATGGCCACGAATCGCCAAATCCGCAAATAACATTTGCGGATCGGGGCGGGGGGAAGGGGGGTACATTTTTACTTGTGTACAAAGAAATGTATATTCCCTTTATATGTTTGCCCTTAGGACAATTATTTCTTTTACCTGTATTGTATATATGTGTACATACAAATAAATAATAATGGAAAATTTTTCTCACAAATAATCAGAAACAAATTTATAAGAACATAAGAAAATAGGGAGTCTGCAATAAGCCGGTTGGCCTTTGCATGGCAGCTCCTGTTTAGAGTTACAACCACACTCTATCATCCACGAATCTATCTAGCCCCCTTTTAAAACTTTTCCAGCATTCCAGCACTTACTACAAAGTTGCTATGCTTGTTCCACTGGTCTACCACCCTATTTGTGAACCAGTTCCTTCCTATCTCCCTCCTAAACCTGAACTTATCCAACTTAAATCCGTTGCTGCTCGGATATTATAAGAACTTTACCTGGTATCTATATCTCCTTTATTGATTCCTTTCACCCACTTAAATACTTCTATCATATCTCCCCGCACTCTTCGTCTTTCTAGGGAATGCAAGTTTATTTTCTTTAATCTATCTTGATATGGAAGGTTTCTACGTCCCGGAATCACTTTCGTGCTTTATTAATAAAGTAATAAAGCACAGACTTGAGGGTAGACTGTCACACTTTTAGTAAATTTGTTTCTGATTATTTATGGGAGAATTTTCCCATTATTATTTATTTGTATGCATTTTGTGTGTGTGTCTACACACACACACATATTTACAATACAGGTAAAGGAAATTACTGTCTCTAGAACGAATGGCTCCCTGTCCCAGCTGCGAAAATGTCGGCAACTTTAAAACTACCCACAGACATTCTTAGGTACATCCAGGGTGTCATCTAAGAATAATAGAGGACATCAGTGAACTTGGGTGGCCCCCTGTAAAGTATAATATTTGGCCAATCAACATGAGTGCTGATGTGACGTAATAGTCGTGGGCGGCAATCAGCAGGAGTGCTCATGTGATGTAATACTCGTGCACTAATCAGCGTTCGCAGCCAGTTGGAAGGTGGCATCTGTGTGAGATGGATGTACATTGGCTGGCTACTGCATTATTCAGCACATTTTGGACAATGAAGCAGCAGCCGTTGTAATTTTTAGGGCTCACAATGTTTTTGTTTCATCTGTAAAGTGTCCGAGATGCAATTCAGAGTGTCAATATCGTGTAGATCGCCAAGCATAAGAAACAGACACTGACGGCCACTTCCTCATTCAAGTCGCATCACTTTATCCTCTTGTATCTCTTACTTAAGGTAAATTTCTTATGCACTTAGGGTTCGGCTTAATAGTTTTTTGAGGTTTTACATTGTTTGACCTACAACTTTTTTTTCCTCCATTATCTTCACTATGCCTCATTTCCGATGGCAATGAAAGTTATATTTGTATTTAACATAATGAGTTACACTAGAAAATCCTATTTATAATACTCAGGTTCCTGGTGACACTTTTTTAATATTGACCCTGTACAGTACTTACTATCATCTAAAGAATATTATGAAAAAAAAATCGAACAACTCCTTCTGGTGTTAGCCATCTGCTCCACCTTTTCTATTATTTCTAATGCTAACCGCATTCGGTTTTATTTTACTTTCAGACATAGCGTGCCCCAGAGTCTTAAACTAATGAAACATTTAGATATCCCTATCCTGAGCACTTTGAACCCCATTTTTACCATTTGGAAATGGAAAATAGCGGCACAATTTAATTTAATTGATTTTACATACTTTTCAGTCTCCGTCTGTAAGAAAAGACGTTATCTGCGTGAAATCGAGTTAATTATGAGTGTTCACATTACGTATGCGCAATGTTGACTGACATCATCCAGTCATGATCAATGATGTGTCGATCATCATGCGATTTATTTTCGACCAATCACATTTACTATTTTTCAAAAGAAGCAGCCTGGGTACGGATTTGAATTTCAATCACCAGTCTGACAATGACCGTGTTGGAAGTTGGGTATGATTCGTGCTCCCTACGTCTGTTGAGTGCCCGCACTGTAAATTGCCTTGTAAATTTAAGCTAGACCTACCAGGGGTCCAGGGGCGGAGCCCACAGCTAGGGGTTAGGTAAGGTTGCGTTAGGTGATGTTATGGTAAGTTGTTAGATTAGGTACGTTAGGTTAGACGATTCGTTTTCGTGTTCTCCCTCACCCAAAAACACAGATTTCCCAGGCTCTCCCACATTGTTGGGGGTCGAAGTGGGGCAAAAACGAGCAATTTCCGACAAAAATGAAGGTCATATTTGCTTAAAACACACCAAAATACACCAGAAAAACATATTGGTTAACCCATAGGGACTCGTGTCCGAAAGTAACAATTTACCCCACATTCTCCACCTTTACCGTTACTGCAATTCTATATTCCAGATTATCACTATTATACAATACAATACATAATGTACACAATTTTCCAAATGCCTACTACTTTAAGTTCTCGCCATGAAAATCCTCATCTCCTGATAATTAGTACTCTTAACCAGGGAAAGATAATGAAATAGATATCCGAGCCAAAATAATTACTTCATTTTATGGTATAGGTACAAAAATGAATAATACACGAGACATCATATTGTGGTGTCCTAATGACTCAATCCTCCACTATCCATACATATCATAATACGTAGTCTTACATAACAATAGGAACTTACATGATTCCTGGTGCTGCTTGTACTGGAGTGATATATTCCATCTTAACGAAATTTGCAAAACTATAATAGCAGCTAATGACCAGCCACACGTGCCTTCAGCCCCTCACTTGGCCTTCTGATTCTGAAATGCGATAACTACATACACAATTTAACAATAACACTAAAAAGGCGTATAATAACTTCTTGATCAATATTTATGAACTGATTCTGTGATATTAAGTTAAAATTAGATTTTACATTTTAATCCTGGGAATATAAATATTAGAAAATATATTCAACACTTGATCAGCGGATTTCTTTAATGTGGATTCAGCACACAAGTAATAATAACTCTTTAGTTTAGACAGCGATAATAAATGTGAATAACTTTCAAGTATATAAAAGTGAATTTAAAATGCAAGAGAGAAAACATGATATAATAATTATAAAAGTACACTGATTGAACAATGAAAGTATGAGTTAGGTCAATTGTATGTAGACGATAATATGTGGCTACACTAAAAAATATATTGTCGATAGGGATAACAAATAAATAAACTGTGATATTTACTGTGTACTTTCCCCTTCTTTATAATGTTATATGTAGAATATCTAATGAAGTGGTACTGTAAAGATAATAGTGTACCTTCAACATCACACATCAATGTTGGCTAACTTTTGCGAACGCGATAGTATTATTGCGTTAATGTAAATAAACAGATAATATAAACCTAACCTAACTTTACGATTCTACAGTAATTGGGACATATTTTGTTGCTGGCATATTAATTACCAGTTTCTGTGGTAATTTTTATGACGACTTTTACTGAATAAGCATTGGTCAATCTACTCGAACACTGGGAAGATAATCCGGATTTATCGCGTCAAGAAAAGTGAACCGAGTATATAAACATTGTGGGGTAGTACGAGTGTCGTGATGGCGTCGTCTTGTGGCGCAGAGAAAGCTCTTTCGCTTTTGAGAAGACTGCCACGAGTGTCACTTGCGAATTTAAAACCTAATCCTGGTGCTAGTAAACAGGTACTGTTGTGAAAACTTCAGTTACACTGTTAAATATGTATTTTTTGGGGGTGAACCATGAGGAAAATAAGTTCCTACCACCCTTTTTTTACTTTTACCTTTTCACCACCGATCGGCATGTTACGCACTGTTGGCGTAGTGGTTCCGTAATGTATCTGTACCTACGCCAGTGTTGGTCAAGTCTGATCTTAAATGAGCTCTCACTCGGTGCCATTAGGCAAGGTTACCTGTAGGTCGAGTTCTCTAAGGCTTGCTCTTAGATGTTGATTAGAGCTTTGACCCCGTATTCTCCCTCATCTTCAAACCGGTAATTATATAGGACTAACCAATGAGTGAAATTGATTGAAAAAATATGAAAAAGCCGGATTCTCACTGTTATATTATAGTGGACACTGTTGTAGTTTGTGGAAATATGTTAAAAAAAATGAATATTTTAAAAATAAACGTTACTTAACATTTGTGGGTATGAAAAACAGACCTAACAAACCTACCTCACCTTACCTAACTTCCTTACCATCCCCCGGTATATTAAACAGAAAGAATTTACTATGATATGGTGAAAATTGAGGCATTTTCTGGACGTGAGATGATATGGCCACATCGGCGCTATGCACCCCGGGCGGCGGAGTGATTTACTGTGTTTGCGGGTTCCACAATAAATGATTATCATTCATATCTGAACTCACTAATGAAAATATTGTAAGAAAATAAACAGTAATAAAAATAACTCGCTCATGGGTTAGTCCTATATATTAACCAAAAACACTATTCTGGTAATGAAAAATCCAGTTGGGCATAAAACGAATCTTTACCTGGTCTGTTACCATGTAGTCTATGATAACTTTTATGAGCTTAGCGGAAAAGTTTGTAGTCTTCAGGATGTTTCAGTATGCTTTCGGACTGTTCTTTTTTGAAGTTACTAATCATGCTACATATTATGGTTGATGATGTTTGGCATAACAAGAAGTCCTGGTAACTGTGGTTCAAAATTTGTGAAGAGAATTTGTTAACTCTTCCTGTTTAATTCTTTCTTTCAGAAAACTCGAGGACGTGGCATATATGGTGGAAAGACTCATGGGGCAGGCAGCAAAGGTTCTGGACAGAGACAGAATTTTATGCGACTTGGTTATGAGACAGGAAATGACCCATTTTATTTACGTTTCCCTTGTCAAAAATACTACAAAGGGCACCAGTAAGTTAAAAGTAATACCTGTAAGTGTAAGGTATTAGCTCGACTCTAAATAATTAATTTTGGTCGTAAATAATTTGACAAATATTATTTGCTATCCTTTAATTACTGACTGAAAACTGTATTTTTTATAACTTAAACCACTCTGACAATTTTATTAAAACTGTCCATGCAATTGCAGTGTGGTGATTCAGACTGTTGATTGATCATAACAGTATTAGAGTATTCCTTCAAGACTTAAGTTTAACATTTCTCTTGAATAGTCTGAAGTTGTCCTACACACCACTCTGTATGGGGAAGCTGCAGAAGATGATTGATACAAACCGATTATGTTCGGATATTCCTATTGATGTGACTCAACTCATGGCCACCGGGTTATTCAAACTGAGCCCTGAAATGAAGGAGGGAGGCTTTATGCTAGAAAATGAGGTACAGTATATACAAAATTTAAAGTTTGTAGTTAATAAGTGAGCCTCCTCAAATACAAAAATTTATTCCTATGTGTTGAAGATTGCTTTTATATTTGTAATTCCACAATAGAAATACAAAACCTTCATATTATATACATGGATAAGAAACGTTCAAAATTTTCATTTACAACAAACAAGTAGCCCTACTCCCTATATTGGTATCCCCCATTCTTTTTGATAATTTGTCATCACCTTATCTCTGATGATATTTCTTAACCCTTAGGCCCCGGGTGACGTTCCAGAAAGTCCGACTTGCACGCCCCGGGTGACGTTCCAGAATGTCTGCCTATTTTCCCGCCATTTTAATTATTTATTTATTTACATGTATTTATTTTTTATTATTATTTTTGGAAAAGTGGATTTTTTTTTCTTGATTTATCCCCGTGGGGGGAGGGGTACTGCCAGCTGCACCTTAACCTGGGGCTTAAGGGTTAATCATGAGTTCTTGTGTAACGATTCATATTTTACAGGGGATTGACCATTTCAAGGCCATCGTAAATTTAGAGGTGCAGTGGGCAGATGAAGCTGTAATAGCAGCCGTGGAACGCACTGGAGGCTTCATAACAACAGCTTACTATGACCCAATCACTCTTAATGCTGTAATTAAACCTGTAGCATTGTTCGAGAGAGGTCTGTATTTTTCTCTAACTTGATATACCCAGTAATGCTCAACTATATAAAATTATAGATTAATTTAGTGGTACTGTATAATGACTTGAATAATGAAATAAAAATCATTGTTAATATCTTTCCCTAACTGATAAAGCAGTTAGTGAAAATTAATAAAAATAAATACGGTAAATTAGCTTTTATGATATAAAAATGCATGGCTTCAACAACCTTTAGAAACTTTAGATTAGATTAATTTTAATATCAATGTTTGAAGATATCCCAAGAGCTGAAGAGGTTAGCTGTAGAACTTTTGTTTTGGTTGTACAGTACATGAAAACTGCTGTCAATCATTGTACAAGGGTTTGTATAGTGATCTAAATATGTAAATATTTAAGGAATTTTGAAGGGAATTACCGATAGGATAATTAATAGCAAATGTTTTTGGCCCCTTCAGGTGTTGCCATACCTCGGCGCATGCTCCCTCCTCAGCACCTCATAGATTACTACACTGATCCTAAAAATAGAGGATATCTAGCTGACCCAGCTAAAATAGCAAAAGAAAGGTTCCTTCTAGCACAGGTTAGTATCAACAATTTGTCTAGTACAGTACATTAAATTATGCAGAAGTTAATAAATTTTCTAATGTTTCACAATATGCAATGAAATTAATGACCATTGGATTAATTATATCCCTTAGATATTTAACAATTCACAGATAAAACAACAGTATTTCTGGAATTCTTTTAGATTTCATGACAAGATTGAGCCTTTTATCGAAAACATAATTTGTTACCAGTGATTAATATCCTTAAATTATATACTGTGCTGTTCAACACTTCACCACAAAGATTGTGAGATATCACACATCAATTTTCAATGAGTACCTTACCATAAAATATTTTCCAGGTAAAATTACTCCCTGATGCTTTAAAAAATTTATATGTATTTGCCTCAAAGATTGCATTAGTTGAAATCACATAAAACAAACAATTAGTTGAATTTGAAAAATAAGGACACCTTACATAATACTTTACTGTACTGTACATGTATTATACCATCCCAGACCTATTTCTACCACTGTTTCATGACCTTCAAACAATATAACAATCATAAAATAATAGTAATATAAAGCAACATTTTAAATAAAAGACTTGAGTTCAGTAGCTACAGAGCTGTACTGCACTTCCCGGACATTGTACTGTACTGGCAGATGTACAATTTGGAGCACCCAGACCCATAAATAGTTATACACCTCAGTTGACAGCTAGACATTGTTTTCGGGTTTTTGTGTTTTTGCTCTTCCCTAAGTTTTTTTTTTTACGGGAATTAGCCCAACTGGGCACAGGTCACGGACCCACATCGGGGCCTAGGGGGGCGAAAATGTAATAATAATAATAAAGAACCATAAAGAAATACAAAAATGAAAAACAAAATCAAGAGTAAGATACAATACAGTATATGTACGTATGTTGTGTTGTCAAAGTAAGAGAAACAATTGAGACCCTGCTATTGTGCGAAAATGAGGCAGAAAGTCAGATCAGCAACCTGGGACTGTCACAATTTTTGCGATGTCATATAGCAGCAGGGTCTACCATTAGACAATACATTATGCTTCCAATATCTTCCCAGGCAGTAGTACCTCCCTGTTTGGTAGCTGCCTACTACCTAAGTGCTTTATATCTACAGTACAGTAATTAAAGATTCAAATGAAAAAGTTATAAATACTTTGTTTATTTATTGAACTGTCACTGGATTTTATGTTCAAGTAATAATATTGTAAAGCTCCAATGTCACAAATAATTTTACACATATAGGCAGATTCGCATTGTGCAGACTTACATGTGTCACGGGACAACTGTAATGAGAGGCGGGAAGTAAGAACATTATTTCATGCTCAATACACAACCTTATATTTATCTTCCACGTTACGAATTTTGTAGTAAAAAGATCCTTGCATATACAGAGTAAACCAAATTTACCCATGCTGAACTTGTTATAACATAAAGCACAAAATGCCACAATGAAGGAGTACAAGGAAGGTAAAGTATTACCTGACCCAACCTTTCCTCTTGGTTCAACCACTTCAGTGTTGTTAAACACTAATAAAAATACAACTGAATACAGTATACAGTAAATTGTGTGCAGATTTTTTTTTTTAGAGGCAGCATACACAATTTTCTTTATTTCAACAAGGTTAGAGACCCCACAATTCTGAAATATAGAGGTTTTATTGTAAATCAAGATTATTATTTATTTAATACTTTCTCTTTCCATCTTCAGAAATATGGTTATGAATTACCTGATGTAAATGCATCACCCATTAAGGACATGCTGCTGGAACGCAAGGATCCCGGCCAAATTTTTTATGGCTTAGAGCCAGGATGGGTTGTCAACTTAAAAGATAAGGTTATCATGAAGCCTACAGATACTGAGCTCAAAGAATATTATGCATCATAAATGTCAGAAATGTGTTAATCTGAACTCATGTGACAAAGTACATTATTTATTGTACTATAATAGGATGCATATTATATCAAGTTGTAATGGTTAATAACTGTCCTGTGATTAACATTAAGAAAGTCTATGTTCAGATTGCTTTTACAAAAAACAGACTCTTCAACTGCATAGGGTCTGAGACGGTCACACTCATTGTTGCTAAGAGATTGTTCTCCCACTCATTGCTACCACTGAATTGAACAAATGTATAAGAAATAAAGTAGTTTTCATGTAGGTTTGTAGTTTCATTGTGCAACAACTAGATGGTTTGTTGTTGAAGGTAATCTGTCATACTCTTTTTATTATGCAGTACTGTAGTCCCACAAATTGCAAAGCATATTCCATTATGATGCTTTCCTTATGTACTGTAAAGTTCTTCATTTTGTTCAATATTTTAAGTTTCATACTACAAATCACTTTCATATAATTGTCTAATTCAATTAAAAATTTCAGTTTTGAGAGTTCATTTAAAAACTGTTGCACATAGTATTTATTTATTTGTTTTTTTGTGGGAGCATTTTATGACTGAAAATGAAGGTATTGATATATTTGTGTTATAAAAAAAAGCTAATACTGTATGCTTTATCTTACCATCTAGTGAGGTAACATCCTAGGAGGAAAAGTTAGTTGTTAAGTTCTTCCTTTTGCAGTCTACAGTCATGTGTACATATTGTATATGGTCAATAAATTTTTAAGAGATTCTTTGTCTGGTGTTTACTGTACTTTGGACACTAGTTGCCATTTTCTCACTGAACTGTATTAAAATTAAGTTTATCTTAGAGAAACTCAACTTTAAATTTTTTTCTGCCACTGTCCCTGGACTGCGCTTATATAAGAGCGTACAGTATTTATATTGAGTTTTATCAGTTGTATAAATGATTTGGGGTATATCCAGCCGTACAAACTCGTTCATTACCTATTGTGCTAAATTTGTGGTATCATTTGTTTCTGTCTGCTTTATGTTTGGTACAAAACAAAGAAATATGATAAGACTTCATTCGAAAAAAAATTTCATCTTTGACTTTGACCTTTTATGATAAATATTAAAAATTTTCTAGCATCTTCTTTGAAGTGCTAATGCCTTGAAATCATTTGCATTTTGATAGTCCAGTTATTTAACATTATTTAATAGAATAACAGGTCTGCTTACCAATTGTGAACACATTTAGTTTGAATAAATATACGGCTACACGAAAATTTTCTAAGAACCAATCAGTTATTTGTAGCCATAGACAAGGGGCGTGGCTTACTGGCTAGGTTAGCGTGGAAACACTATAGTATCGGACAGATGCACAGACACAGTTAAGAGACCATGTGATAATCGTAGACACCGAGTCATGGGGATCATGGTGGTAAAAAAATGGATATAAAGTTCAAAATATATTTCATTCGCTTTTGTTTAAAATTGCTTATTGCATGCATAAGAACAATACATTATACATTATTACAAAGCAGTAACTTCTCAACTGACCAATACAGTATACATTACTTGTAAGTCTACGACTATCCTAAATGTCAGTCTCCAGTGGATGATTTAATAAAGTCACATAAAAATTATAATAAATGCCACAAATGTAAAATTGGAACAATTTACTGTACAATATATAGATGCAAATTTGTGGTTTCTGATGATTAAAAAGTTATCTTTTAAGAGAAAAATAAAACATGCAGCTATATGTGCACTCATTTCTCTTATTCCCTTTATGTGTTTCAAGCACATTCTATTCAGTACTTTCATTAAGGATCAGACAGTACAATATTCATAAACAGACTAACAAAATGTCTCCTACCTGGGCCAGGTACCTAATATAAAATCTTCAGTAGACACTTCACTCTTCTTACATATACAAATGTCAATATGGTATTCTTTAAGATTTTGTATTAATGATATACTCTATACACTACAGTATACTGATACACTGCATTTGTTAAATTGAGAATGTTTTCGTGCTAAATACCATAAAAAGTGTCCCCAATTGGTTATTAATGATAAAATATATTTATACTTTATATATATAACTTATGAAATCCTCCCATTCAGAAACATATTAGATGGGAAGCTTAAGTTAGGTTTACCACTTTTGAAGTGATGGTAGTCTTGGCACTGAGGTATTAGTTGAAAGAGGGGTCTGGATACTACATTCAGTAGGAATAGCAGCTGTTAAAGGGTGAAGATGTTGAAGCGTGGCTGACACAGGTGGTGATGAATGAATAATAGATGTGTTTCTTTCTAAACTGCAAAACTCACCTTCATTTTGTAATTCTGTAAATGTTAATGATGGAATGTTTCTAGATGCAAAAGTATCATGATTGCGGAAGGGTGTGACGATAGGCTCAGGTACGGAACTATTTACAGGATGTAATGTATTATAAACAGGAAGTCGCCCTCCAACTGATGCACTTTGGGATACTTGAGTTGGATTTCCTAGATCCAATGCTATTAAGGTAGAATGATCATCTGATAGTGAAGGAACAACTGATAATGAGCCATTACTACTTGCTGGTAAAGTGCTCTTTGAATTCAGGATATCAGAGTTTGTGTTTAAAGGTATGTCTTCAATATCCACTGATGATGTTAGTGCTGCAGTTCCTAATAATTTGGTTGACAGTGGCAGTGTCTCCTGATTACATATACTGCTAGGATTTAAGATCTTACTTTGAATATCAAAAATAGAAACACTTTGAGCTTCAACATTTTGGAAGCTTATAATGTTAGCTGTGTCAATATTTTGTGTTGAGGCATTATATGAATGCCTTTCCACATGTTTCTTTAAGCTACTCTTAGCTGTAAATAATGTTCCACATTCATCACATCTGAAAGGTTTTTCCCCTGTATGAGTCCGCTTATGTTTATTAAGTGTTCCAATCTGAGCAAATGACACACCACATAAATGACATTTGTGTGGTTTCTCTCCAGTATGAGTCCGGATATGGATTTTCATTTGTGATTTTGAAAAGAATCTCATTCCACAGATATCACATTTCAAAGGTTTTTCCCCAGTATGTATCTTACGATGCTTTGTTAAGTCAGACATATCTGCAAACACAGCACCACACATTTCACAACAATATGGCCGCTCCCATGTGTGAGACTTCATGTGACGGTCAAGTGAATTTTTTACAGGAAAGGCTGCAGTACATATTTGACACTTAAAAGGTTTTTCACCAGTGTGAGTTTTGTTGTGTCTTGATAAATTTGAGTTGCTGGAGAATTTAGCATCACAAAAGGTGCACTTGAATGGACGTTCACCCGTGTGGACCATTACATGTTTCTTATATACACTGCTGATGGAAAAAGCTGCCCCACACACCTTACACACATAGGGCCTTTCCCCTGTATGAATACGCATATGAACTTTTAGGTTTCCAGCTTGTGAAAATGAGAGTCCACATTCTTGACAAACATAAGGTTTCTCACCAGAATGAATCCTCCTATGTGTCTTTAAGTGACCACTATGAGCAAAAGATGCATCACACTCTTGACACTTGTATGGCTTCTCCCCAGTGTGGGTTCTACTATGCTTTTTTAAAGAATCTTGTTCATAAAATGATAAGCCACATTCTTTACATAAAAAAGGCTTGTATCCAGAGTGCAACTTCAGATGTCGTTTCAAGTTACATTTTTGATTAAAACCAGAATCACACTGATCACACTTGTACAATTTTTTAGTTTGTCTTGATGCCAAATTTGCATTGAGATTTTGTCTCGTATCTTGACCATTATTATTTATGCTGAATTCATTACAGGTATCTTGCTTTGGATTTTGCAGCATCAACTCTGAAAACAGATCATCAGGCGATAAACCCTAAAAATAAATTAGATAATAACACATTATTACACTTATATAACTCTTCCACAAATAAATGAAGATCAGAGAATATAACTCAATACTGTACAGTACCTCTATCATGTAAAGTTTCCCTTCCAGTTTCACTAATGTTTATGATGCCATTGCTAAGCAGATCTCTTGAAAGTTGTTCCTCAGACTGTGGTGACTGAAATTTAATCCATAAAATGATATTAGTCCCTGAAAAATTTCAAGTGCATATATTTCAACGGATGCAAAGGGAGGGAATTTTGAACATTTACTGTACTGAGATAACACAACTGTATCAAATTGTGTAGTTATGTGTAATTTTATGTATGTAGCTCTACACAATGTGATGCAGTTGCATTACTACAGTGAATGTTCAAAATTACCTCTCTCTTCCTCTGTATTGCGCTGTGTGCATAAAACTACTGTATACAGAAATCTATGGCTGTATCACTCCAATCTCACTACCATTACCTCCGCATCTTGTATGTGTTGTGGCTAGCAAACTATTCAGAATTCGACACTTTGTTATATAGTATAATAGTATATACATTGTGGTTTAGAATTGTCCCAGGAATATACCCTGCAATTTTATGTATATCTTTGTGAATCACTCTGTATACTGCACAGCACTGTTCTGTATATATATATATATATATATATATATATATATATATATATATATATATATATATATATATATATATATATATATATATATATATATATATATATATATATATATATATATATATATATGTGTGTATGTGTGTGTGTGTGTGTGAAAAAGATATAAAACTTTTGCATCTTATAATTATAAATTAATCAATTAAACTTACCCCTCTTATGTTAATAACTTCATGTTCCTTTACTGGAATGCTTCCTCCATTCACCTGGTCAAGTCCATCATCCCTCAATGCTACCTCAGTCACAACAGTTCCCTTATTTCTGGTGATGCAGCAGTCTGGTTCCTCCATTGCCCCGGCACCTGAGTATGTTAAAAAATATCAAGACACAATAGCAATGTGATTAATAACCTGCCATAAACTCCTCCATAAATGGAGCTGAGATTGTTAAGTCAGTTTTTCACTGTGTTTCATCCCTTGTGGGGTTTCGTGATGTTGAATTGTAGTGGATACTCTCCCCTACACCCTCATCCTTCATACCAGTACAGGTGATTTATGATCGTAGATAGAGAAAAATGGAAAAATTATAGTTTCGATCATCTATCTATTTGGAAGTAGGTCAGAATCGTTCAAAACACATCGAAAACTCAACTCAGATTAAATTAAGTTTACCAATTTTTTGTGACTTTATGACACCAAATACTAATCGAGAAGTGATTCACAGCCCGATTTACGCTTGTAGGACCATCATTTGACTTCATTGTGGCTACATTTGGGTACATTTGGGTTCATTTGGGTAATTAGTTGGACCCCACTCAGACGGTGGTAACTTAAAATCCTACTATTCGCTTGATGACCGAAACGATATTTATTATTATCCATTATCTTAATAATTTCATATGTACAGTAGTTAGGTGGGATGAGTACTGTACCGTTACACTATTACCCATAATCGCGCATAACAGAGTGGAATTGACATAAGCACAGAAACTTACTTTGTCCTCTTCGTTTTGAAAAACAAAGATAGCTCAGCTAGAAAAACACCCCTGTGCTTATTAACTTTTGATAAAGGCATTACTTTTCACTCACATTATTCACATGAAGTCTAATACTGTACAGTATTGCGTGTAACAAGGAAATGACAGGAGTTGAGGTAACTTTTGTTTACTATCCCAGTCGTCACAGATGGTACCGTTCTTGTAGTCAATCCGCTCGCAGTGGTTCTCTAACTTTACACTGATAGATTTAATTTACCAATTCACAACTAATTTCTCATCTTAATAGCTGTTGGGTCGGTTTGTCTGTTCTTTGTTACTTTGTTATGAAGTTTTTTGTCCAGTGTTGGTATAGGAGGAAACCGGAGTACCCGGAGGAAACAATTATGGTATTTACTTCTGAGGAAACGGGATACACAATATTTAAATCAATTAAACTGTATATATATATATATATATATATATATATATATATATATATATATATATATATATATATATATATATACAGTCTTATTTCGTGTTGTTTTATGAAAATATAGACTGAAATATCTGGCTAAACATACATTTATCTAAGTAAATATTGGTTAATTATTTATCCTAAATACGGTTACTTGCAAGCAGCTGTAATCTGGTTAATTTATAGTTTTTTTATATTGTTTTTTTCTAACAATTTTCATCTATGACAATTTGGGTGCATTTTACCTAACCTAACCTCAGGTTTGATTTGATAAATTTGTAGAGTTATCCCGTCAAAAGTCTATGGACCCTTTACATCTCATTCCGCACCTACATATATTTATTCAATAATTAATTTTGATTTTCATCGATAAATGTATATTTAGCCAGATATTTCAGCCTATATTTTTTATAAAATAAAACGAAGTTAGACTGTATATACTTACAGTTCTGTAGCCTGTATCAAGGACTATAAACAGCACTACTGTTTTATCCTAAGATTACTTAAATAACTCAACATCTATAGCTACACGATTTTTATTAATCCCCCTAAAAAAAAGAAAAATGCGGCCTATGATCATGAGACCGACAACTATAGATAACGGACTCTTAGAAATTGTATAAGGAAAGAGGTTGACGTAGTGGGAAATCGTTATAGAATTTAATTCTTTAAATAGGCACTCAGATCGCTAGTTCTCACCCTAAGTTACATTTGTATTCCTTATCAGATTTTCAGTTGGTTGTTGACGTCTGCTGCTCCCTGCATAGATATGACAGCCCTGACTAGAAGTGAAACAAGAAAATATGTTAAAGTTGGTGATTTTGACGCTCTTGTTCGTGGTGTTCGTTAATGGGTATCCTGAGCAGGGAATATGGCATCTTACTGCAGGCCCGGTAATTATCACCTTTGTCTGGAGCTTTAGTGTACTGAAGGACCCCGGTGGAAATTTAAGGACCCCAATACAATACTTTTTCCTTTTCATCCCATTTCAGCTCACTAACCGACCTGGTAATCGGTCTTCAAATATATTTATAAACTTGGGTAAATTTGCATAAGTGCACACAACTTTGTTAGAAAGTAAAAAATATGTTATTCTAGTGTATTTATGTGTTTTTAGATCGGTTATGACCTTCATTTCAGTCGGAAATTGGCCGTTTATTTTATGTCTTTTGTTTTTTTTTGGTGGTGCGTTTTCCGACAAAGGTTATGGCTAAGCGAATACAAAATACACAAAAAAAATCGGAAAAACAAACCTGACCTAGCCTAGCCTAGCCTAGCCTAGCCTAATTGACTCTCACCATATGATGGAATCACTTATTTCTTACCTTATTGGCCTGGTTCTCGTTCGTCGTTGGAGTTACCACAATGCCTCATATGTTGGTCTTGACGATATTTACATTCATGCACTTAGGACACTTTACTGAGGACCCCAAAACTCGCAATCAGCTCCATATAATTGAAGTGACACCCATCGCAGACTTCCATGGTCAGAAATGAATTTGAATTTCAAAATATGAGACCCAAAATAAAAATTGAATTTGATTGGGCCAAAAATACCGCGAATTAAACCACAAATCATTTTAATTGGTTGACCCCCAAAAAAACTTTTGATTGGATGTGTGAGGATTTATGAAGGAGACACGCAGTGTGGGAGGTGAGGTAGACGATAATGGCAGAAGATTAATTGAAGAAAATAGAGAAAATTTTGGATATGCTATCTCCGTTATTATACATTTGCGATGGTAATATAATAGAAGAAAATTATCTTATAATTAGACGTCTTATTCGAATATGATAATAGATTAGGCGTAGGAATCGTGAAATGCAAAAATACCTAAACTTGCTGTCGTTGGTTTAAATGCTGCTGTTTACCATTGTCTGTACCTGTACTGTATTTTTTACTATTTACAACCTGAGTCAATGTAAACTTGGATGATTTTTCATAGTATATCTCAAGCTGAAGAGTTTCAGCATTATACACTGTTGTGGCGACCATGCATTTAACAGGTGTAAAATCACGAGCCCCAGACTAACCTACCTAACCCAACCCAATCCAACTCAATCAAACCTAACCTAACCTAAACTTGAGCTTCACCTCAATATTATTATATGAATTAGGTTAGGTGGGTTAGTTTGATTCAGTTTACAAACAATAAATCATATGTGCAGGTATAGTAGTACATTATCCAGTACAGGTATTTCAGAAAGTTTCTAGTTCTGCTAAATATCAATAAAAGAAGCTCGCGGTCTTACGCCTGTTAATCTAATAACTACAGTAGTGTATTTGGGAAATCAGAGGGAGGTTAAGATTTGGAAAAGGTTGACCACAGAACTTTATACTGTATTGATATTTGGTGAAATTTCAGTCATGCACCGATCTTTCTCTCGCTATTACTAATGTGTTTTTCGTATGTTTAGACAACTCTTAAGACCTTTTTCTTCTACGATATTTCCGCCAAAAATTAAGGATAACCGAGATGTTAATTTTTTAATATTATTAGATTTGGTCAGTCACAAATGTTGCCATGTCTTGTTTACCTTTTGGCGGAGTAGCTCTGACCACCTCACACGTAGCTCTGTACCTCCTTCTTCGCCTCTTAAGCGTTCACCGTTCATGTGCGGGAGGTTGGAGGGAAAAATTCTTATTGGCTATAGTGATAGGAGACTTATTATTGGGCAAGAGTTCTTTTTTAGCCAATTAAAAATGCGTGGGTGCATCGTGGGGGGGGGATTTAGAATTTTCAATACCAGATAAGGCTGAACAGGTCCAAGAGCTGTGCCGACTTTGTGAGAAAAAAGATTATTTCCGGTCAATTGCAGAGTTTCAGGAGAACAATAGTGAGGCCATTAGTTTTTTAGAAAACACGGTGTATTACCGAATATTGTCCATTGTCCAAAGTGTAATAACCAGTGTAAATTGTGCGAAGACCACCGCATTTGGCGGTGTCACCACAGTTTCCTTCAGTAGAAAAGTAAAAAACGGAAGAGGTGAGCCCCCCTGGTTAGGTTAGGTTTTGTTGGTTTGCTGGTATTTTATTTATGTGATTTACCAAGGGGGGGGGGGCGGTCTGAAAAACTATTGATTTCCAACTGAAATGAGTATCAAATTCATTTGAAACTCATCAAATAACACTGGAAAAACAGATTTTTAATATCCAAACAAAGACCGGTGTAAGTGAAATTTGACCTGATATTTATATAAGGAGAGAGAGAAAAAATCTTTTATTTTATTGCAGTTCCGTTGCAAGTTTGTATTTAAGTTTCTTGGACTTTTGATTCGGCCTAAGAAGTACAGTACATTTTAGCGGGAGACACTGTTTACATCTTGCTTATGTAACTATGAACTGCCAATCAGTGCATGCTTAGAGTTTTGATTTTTGCTTGGTTTTTCGCAAGATGGATTCTCCGTGCAATGGGTGTTCTTCTTCAGCATGACAAGCCATTCGTTGTTGGCAGTGGGGGTCACATATCCATAAGGGCTCATTGCTGACAGAAAATGGAGGTCAGATTCAATTAAATACACAAGAAAAACTATGATTTTTAGTAATTTCCTTGGGAGATCATTTCCAAATATTTCTCCAACGGTACACTGTCGATATGCTGGAAACAACTTGATACAATATATGAAAGTTAAAAAACTCAAAAAAAAATATATGGAATTGAACATATAACATTTAGGAGCCATATAAACCATATAACACCTCTGTACTATACTGTATTACTCCTGGGTGGTGAGTTATTAGTCTGTGAAGTGTGGTGGAGAGTAACTGGCACTGTATTATGTTTTTCACCAGAGCCTCTGAGAACTTTATTAACTTTAAAATGTTGTTCTCCAAAATTTACTCACATAAGTAGCTACAGTATTAACTCGAAAATTTTGCCTACTAATGTTGTAGTCAGGCAAACTGCAGTCTTGTAAGGTAATGAGGGTTGACATTCAAAGTACAGGTACAATACTGTACTCTCATATAATTAATACAAAAAATTCTTATACAGTACTGTATTTACTTTTTACAGGGCAATGAGTATGTTGGTGTGAAGAAGAGCTTGTTCAAAGGGAGCCGGATCAACATAAAAGTTATGTGTAACCCTACGGACCCCATTAAGCCTCTGGACATAAGCATCTCCTGGATGTTGAGGAAAACACCTTGTTGGAATGATTATGTTTCCAATCAGGTTTGTTCTTTTACATGTTTGTTGTGTGCCAGTGGGGGGAGAGCATGATGTTAAGTAATACAGTATATAAGTTGAGAAAGGCATGCTACTGATGGGTGTTGCTGGCATATGTGAAGTGATGTGGGTAAACCCAAAATTGGTTTTGTGGAAGGTGATCACAATAACAGAACACATCTTTCATAGTAGAAAGAAAGAATGAATGACATTATAAGTATGGTTTAAGTTAGGTATTTTGATAGATTATGCTTGAAAGCCAGAGAAATAAGAAGAGTATTGTAATAGTTTCACTTTGGGAAAAAGGATGTCTATTTTGAGTTGCGATATATGGCAAGGGCACTGTACGCAGTAAGTTACAATGGTTTATTCGTGAATAAAGGACTAGTCGTTTTTTCTTTTCTTTTTCTTTTTTTCTTTTTTCTTTTTTCCCAGTACAAACCCTTGCATCTCGGTGCATATTCTTGGTTTTCATGCCTCTTACTTATTAGGATTTTTTCTGACTACACTTTTCCATGAACTAATTGTTCATTCTATGTAATACTGTACTGTACTTTGGAAATACAGTCTACTGTTGAAAGATGTGCTGCATAGTGTAATCTTTGTTCAGAGCAAGATGAAAATTGTGAGAGCAGTGAATCCTTGGCTTGGAAATTTATTGCATATCACAGAAACATGGTCTACTATCAAGTAATATAACTTAAGGAGTTATTAATACTGTATAAATTTTATGTATATTAAGTTAGGTTTATTATTAAGTACAGTAAACTGATTATGCTTAATGTGTAGCTGGTAGGTAAAGCAAGTTTTAGGTAACACTGCTCTGTAATCTTTTTTATGGTATTGTAGTACATCACCTTTGTCTACCACCTAAAGATTTTATTATTCATGTACGGTACTGTATCAAGTTTCCACTTGGTACAGGTACAGGTATTTATATTTCTGAGTAATACTGTATAGTTAAAATATATTTTGTGTCATTAATTAAATACTGCATGGTGATTTCTTTCAAATACTGTATACAGTACTGAATATTGCTGGTACAATACAGTGCATAGAAGTTCACAGTCATGATATCCCATGTACTGTGCAATCAAAGAAAAAAGTCGTGTTACACTTCCCATGCCTTATGTTCTGAAACCCACGACAGAATTTTGTTAAAGTTCCGCGTTCAGACTCTCACCTCAAAGATTCGCTGTCACTTTACCTAAATTCTACCTCATGGGTTGGGGAACTTAATGACATAAAATTGTTTATCTCAACCTGTCTTTATTTCCATCATTTTGCTCACTTTGAATGTTTACATCCTCAATTTTTTATATAGGTAGATTATCAATAGTTATTGATTTCTCTTTTTTTTTAAAATGGCCACAGAATGAAGAAAACAAACTTTTCAAGTATTTCTATGATCATCCTGAAAAATTGCCTGGTTCCCCGAATGGCACCATGTATGATCCTGGCTATGTGAAGACCAATCCAGTGGAGTATAAATGTGACAACAATATACTCTTGGTAAGTCTTATGATATTTAACCTTGGCTACATAATATCCTCATGTAGTAGATACCTGGTAGTGTGGAAGAGAGGTGATAGATGACATTACTGGGAGGATGATGGTGTAGCTGCTGCCACCACCTTTATATAACATATTTTCTGGATACTGTACTATCTGTATAATTACTGTATAAGTACAGGAACATGGCCACACACTAGCCTGCACTACAGTACTATGTTGCTTTCTTTCTTTGGGAAATTTTGATAATTTAAACTTTTTACATTGGTTATTTAGTCATTCAAAGGGTAGATTTATGGAGATTGAAAATGGTATTCGTAAATTTTACTAATTATGGGGATTTCTGGAACCTATATTGTGAATAACAAGGAATAATTGTATTGTATAATCAATTTAAGAATGGTAATGCTCCATGTGTGTAAAGGGTAAATGTGGAAAAGTGATAAAATAGATGTCAAAAGTGGTTAGGTTATGCATGACAGAGGGAACTGAACTGAAAGAATGGCAGAAAGGACAGGTGATGTAGATTGTAAGGTGGTGGAATTAGTGAAGAGAAGTTCACTTGTATGTTATGGACATTTAAGAGGGATGCAAGAAGAGAGGATGAACACAAGCAATGTAGCAGGCATGTTGGGTAGGCGGAGACCACCTGTATTATAGGGAAAAGTGGAAAAATACACTATGGAGAGAATAGGGGAGAGATAGAGGGAATAGAGAGGGCAGAGGAGATAAATTATGTAGTGTTGGGCAGTCTAGAGGCCCTTCTGCCCTGGTCACTCCCTCCAAATAGAGTAGTGAGACATTGTAGATAATATAGAATAAGAATACCATAGTACAGGTACTTTGATGTACATCATATGGTCATTTTCATGTGTACAACTCCAGGATGAAGTCAACCTTGATGAGATGATGTTAGCTAACAAAGAAGCTGCCAAAATTAATTCACTAGTCACCAGGGACGTGAAAGAACCAAGTGATGAAGAAGCAGGCACTACAGAAGCAGTGGAAGGTAAGAGATAAGCCTGCACACTTGTGCTGTTAACAGCACTTTTTCATAATTAAGAAAGCATTGTGGATTCTAACCAGGTGTACTGCCCTTGAAATTTCTCAAAACTAATGTTATTTATTTTTTTAATGGTGTTGGACAAATGGGTCCAAACCCATAGGCCCTGGAAGCCAATACAGTATTTGAATTTTTCATGTCTACTTCAAAATTGGTTTTCAAGATAAAACTCACATTTTTAAGTACAGTATACAAACTGTACACAGGTATTTCAACCATAACCTATGATCTTCTTCAGAAGTGGGACAAGAAAAATTTCAGTGGGAGGTTTTATAGGGGTATGAAGGGACATCAAGTGACAGGACCAGTGTTACGATTGATGTGGTAGTACATAATTTCTTCATTTATACTACAGGTATATGTAATGTGTTCAAGTTGAGACCTTTTTTGGGGATCATGAGGACGACCTTGTGTATGCTATGTTCTTTACTATATCTTACCATACTAATAAAGATGTTCAGGTGTTTTGATTGTTAATTAGCCTGGTAATTAGTACATATGTGAGATTATGATCCTGACACATAATCAGTACTGTATTTAACAATTACATACAGTACTGGTATATGTATTGAAATATTTGGAATATTGTACAGTATATATTCAGGACACCGGTGTTTCATGAAGGCTCTCTGAACAACAGGTCCTCGAATGTTATCGGGAGCTAACATTAGTCCCGATGGTTCAGCCCGTACAAGGCATCCTGTGACAGTTGTGACCAATGATGGAGTTTATCTTCTTGTTGTCCATACAACAGCTGTGACATATCCAGAAAGAAATATTTCTTATGTTGCTAATATTGACATTGAAATGCAAAGCAGTTATGGATATCTCTCAGCAGTTGGTAAGTAGCTTTCTCACAATTTCATTAATTCATATTTGCAGATACTAATTATGATAATTGCATATTTTTTTTTTATTTCTTTCCAATCTGGATATATTTTTTATACTAAAGATATGCTGATACCACATAAACAACCCTGATAGTGGTGCAGATATACATTAAATTAAGTGTTAATGTTGATATTCTGTGACTTACATAAGAGTAATGTTGATTTATCCCTTCGATAGATTGGCCTCTTCTTGGATTCTACGTGGCCATGTGTGTAGTGTATTTCCTGTATGGGGTTGCATGGCTCATCATGTCTGCCATACGGTGGAGAGAGTTACTCAGGGTCCAGTACTGGATTGGTGCAGTTATCTTTTTGGGTAAGTGAAGCAGAGTTGTGCACAATGTTGTATGAGTATGTTTAATAGTCATTCCTTATCCACTAAGACTTCCATATCCTTAGAGCTGGTGTAGTTTAAACAGTCTCAAAGAGTTTTTACATATAAGTGATAGCTTGTTTTAATGGAAAGGATTAGAGTGTGTATGTACTTTATATGTAACTGATCCACCTTAATGCTTAGATTGAGAGAACAATCTTGTTTTGTCTACATGCAAGAGATAAAATTAATTCTTGTCTCTTAATTGATATTATTCAGGGATGTTGGAGAAAGCAGTTTTCACAGCAGAGTATAGCAGTATCAACAAACGGGGTTACAGTGTGTCTGGACTGATCATCTTTGCAGAGCTAGTGTCTTGTGCCAAACGGACACTAGCACGAATGTTGGTTATTATTGTCTCTCTTGGATTTGGTATTGTCAAGTAAGTAAAGTTCTTAATCCATTTATTATTTTATACTACTGTAGTAATTTTAATGTCTCTCTTATATTTTCTTCATGACCATATATTTTGGCAAACCAGACACTCACTTCACCATTCCTCCCTTCACACACACACACACACTCTCTCTCTCTCTCTCTCTCTCTCTCTCTCTCTCTCTTACTAATATTTCCAGGGTCAGTACACCTGTGGTCTCCATTATATCACTCCCCTTCATTTCAGTGTTCATAACAACTTAAGGTATTTCTTATAATGCCATCTTATGAACCCATCATATCTTCTAATTATTTTGATTTTTTTTTTACATTTACTAGTAGTTATTATTTTTATGTTGATGTTATGATGTTAAATTTTGTACCTTCCCATCTGTGCAGGCCACGTCTAGGCATTGTTCTTCACCGTGTGGTTGGCGTAGGTCTCCTGTACTTCGTGTTGGGCAGTATTGAGGGCTGTACCCGGGCCCTTCAGTCTAAATTTAATCGTCAAAAGCAGGTTAGTTATATTATTTCAATTTTATAATAATTTATTAATATTTAACTGCAACAAAACAGTTTTATGTGAAGGAGAAAAATATATATTATGCACCATCTAGTGTTGTGAAATTTTAGCAATCCCAAGCAGATGTTTATCATTTAGTATTTACAGCTTCTAGTAACAGGAGAATACTATAATAGAGTTGTAGGTACAGTATTGTGTATAAATAACAGAACTGAGGATGTGATGCTTAGGGTAGAGTGAATAAAGGAGTGAATCATTAAAGTAATTCTATTGTTACTGGTGTTAGGTTCTGCTTGCCTCCTTACCTCTGTCCCTGCTGGAGGCTGCCATCTGTCTCTGGATCTTCACTGCCCTTGTACAGACAACCCGCACACTCCGCCTCAGGCATAACTTGGTGAAGCTCTTCTTATACAGACACTTCACCAACACTCTTGTATTTGCTGTAGTAGCTTCTGTTATCTTCATGCTTTGGTCCATCAGGTAATTGTGAGAGATTTTCATATTGAAAAAACTAATTAAATTTATAGGTTGTAGAAGTAAAATTGCATTTTCAATTTGAATAACCCAAAATATAAGCAACGAAACATTGAGACATGAAATTTTGTTTAAATATATTTGATTTACCAAAAGTACACATTAAAACAAAAAATTATGAAAATGTTTTGATATTGAGCTGTACAGTATGTTTTGGGATTAATTTTATTAATGCCACAGTTAAACAGTATTCAAAACAGGAGGGTTTATTTTTAAATTTCCACAATAATTTGTTCATATATTGTTGTCAACTTCAGTATTTGTTTAAGAATGTATGTTTTGTTTTGTCTATTAAGAAATAAAACAGTAGCTATCTCTTGTCCTTATCAAGCTATGTTGAGGATTATGTAATTTTTTTATATGTATAACTCAGGTATCACCAGCTTGAGTCATGTCTTTCTGACTGGAAGGAAATTTGGGTAGAAGATGCATACTGGCACGTCCTCTTTGCAATTGTTCTTCTGGTCATCATGGTTCTCTGGCGACCTTCAAACAATAATCAAGTATGTTGTATTTGTTCTCTTGGAATCTTGTTTAAGGTTTATGCATATTCTTATCTCAGGATGTTCAGAATTACAAGGAGATATATTGAGACACTTTCATAGTTATATTAATATTTTAAATAAACTAGGTGTTTTCTGAATGTATTGTGGTAACTTAAAGTATGTTTTCATGGTACAGTGTAATTTAAACTTGTTCAATACACTTCAGTACTAGTACTTGGAACAGGAATTTATTTTGAGCTAAAATTTGAAATTTATGAATATTGTCAGGATGATAAGTACAGTATCTCCAGCTGAGAACTTATACTGTTTATACTAAACTTTGGATGATTTGTTATTATGTTTATGGAGATTTGAAATATAATTGTGACTTGAAAAAGGAGCAAGATATTCTCCATAGAGGAATTTATGCAGGTGTGTAAGGGGAAGTATGAGCAGTAGTAGTTAGAACATAGAAGAGTAGTTAAGAATAACCTGCTTGTTGAATTTATGAGTTTCTAACAGATCTTAGGTAAATTTATACTGTAGTGCAGTTTAACCAAAATAATAACGTTGTCATTGGTAGAATAGGAACTCGAATTGACATCCACATTGTAATGATAGTGTGTCTGCCTGTTGATTTTTAATGTGGGAAGGAAGGAAGCATTTGTGTTTGGTATAAGTTCTGGCCATCCAAGAGTATAACAGGAAAAGGCTTTGATTAATGATTTTTTTTTTTTTTACAATGACTTATTTTTAGAAGTTTGTTTGAATGGCTCCAAGTCTAGAGAGTAAGGATGTTAAAAATTTCGAAATATTTTACAAAATATCCCTGAGATTTTGAGCATTTGTGTTGTATTATTGTAACGTCATATACAGTACAATACTTTACAGCGTCAGTTCAATCCTTCTCTGTCATAGTTACTGACTGCTGCACATTGTTTCTTCTTCTAGCGGTTTGCTTTCACACCATTGTTGGATGATGGTTCTGATGCTGATGATGAGGAAGAGACTGAAAATTTGATGTCAGAAATTTCAGACACAACAAAACTGAGGAATGTACGCGGTTCTACATCATCTTCACCACGAGAATCACGATCAGTGGCAAGTTAACAAAATAACGTTGCTTTAATTGTAATATTTTTTACACTGAGAAATGCAAAGATATTTACATAATAGTTGTGATGTAATGCAGCCAGAAGTGAAAACCAGCTGTCAGAGCTGGCATTGGGGTAGAAGTCTTCAACTTTTAGCAACAATTTAATATATTGGCAAGAGAGTTTGTTGAGGTTATCTTCTCAACAGTGGTTAATTTAAAAAGTAGGCAAATTTGTTTAACATGTTAAATGTATGTAAGTGCTCAACCTCAGGATTCTTAAAGCTATTGTGGGTTGTGAGGAATTAATACCTTGATAATTGGCTAAACCAAGATATGTAATATGTTTTATTCAACTCCAGTGGTATTTTCATGGCGCTGATGATAGTGCAGTGATAAAGAGCACTTGAGAAATTGTGAAATTCATATGATTTATGATTTTCTATGACAAAGTATTAAAGATATCTTTGCCATTCCAGGAAGATGACTTGAAGTGGGTGGAGGAAAACATCCCATCATCTCTTGCAGACACGTAAGTCAGCGACCTTCAACTTTATATAAACAATATTTTACTGTATATGTGATGTGATGTTAATACATGTGTTATATAATGATTATACATTTATCCTACATAGAAATATTTATTCATGTTTCCTTCATATATTAGTATTCCTTAAGCATTCTCACATATAGGATGGGAGTTGGAACAGGTACATGAAGTTGCATAAGGAAAAAAATATTAAACAAGAAATTTATTCAGAATTAATAATTAACTCCTACGCCCCGGGCTAGGGTGCCTCTGGCCGTATTCCCCATGTGGGGTAAATCGAGAAAAATCAACTTTTCCCAAAGTAAATTTTTAACCTTTTTAAATGATAAAACAATAAAAAAAGAAGTTAGAAAAACTATATATATTGATCATCTAGAAACCTCCCTGTGGCAAGGGAGATAAGGGGACAGTGTTGTTTTGACAGCTCGTTCTTGTGGTCACTACGCACTTAGCAGCCATTTTCTGCTTGCCTTTGTGTCTGGGATGGCCAGTAATGCATATATTTACTGATCACAATACTTATTTCCTATAAATAATTAATTAAGAATATTTTTTTGCATTATTTTTCATAAAAGTGCTTGGCGACCCACAAGTACTGTAATGCATATACGTAAATAATTATCGGAATAGTGATTCCACAAATAAATACATTAATAACATAATCATAGCATTATTTTCCAGTAATACTACACTACAATACCTGTACAACTACAGTACTTTTAATGATATTACTTTGATACAACATGATAAAATGGACAAACAAAAGTAGGTACTTACATTCAGGAAGCTTCCCTGTGGCCAAGCGTGTGGCGTGACATGCAAATTGTCATGGTGGAACTTGATAACCCGTGCTGGGCATTAAAACAATCCCGCGAAAAGGCGCGCGTACTGGAACGTCAACCGAGGCGCCCTAGATGGACGTTCCGAAACGTCAGCCTGGGCGTAGGGGTTAAACTTCAAGAAATAGGAATCCATCTTTAGCTCATTTTATTATATGTTATTTTTGCCTCTGAACATTCTATATTTCCATTCATTACTTGGTGTTCTTCCATTGTCTATTGTGTCTGGTCATTTCCCTGGCACATACTGCCTAAAATATTCTTAATCAGCTCTCTGTCATATCGTTCTTTCCTTTCTGTATTTCCTAATTTCAGTATTTCTTATAAAAGTTGGTTTATTTATAATTATGTTATTTTATTGGAATTTGTGTTAATTTTTTTGCAGTGCACTTCCCATCCTGGACTCTGATGAGGTAAGATTACTGTAAAGAACCTGGCAAGAAGAGTGATTCTAGAGTTGAGTAAGAATAAAAGGATATATATTGCAAAGGGATAGGGAAGGTATGGAAGTGGGGAGAAAATAAATATACCACTATGTGGTAGGTTATGAAAATCTAGTGAGAGATAGTAAATGGGATTTTATGAAATAACTCATGAGTGTTTGCAAAGTAGGAGAAAGTGCATGGAATTTTACTTGAAAGTTATTGAATGTTTGCAGCACAGAAAAATGTGATGGGATTTGGTTTTAAATCTGTTAAGTGTCTGTACAGTACAGTACAGGAAATATTAAATGAGTGGCAATTTAGTGATGAGAGTTTTGAGGAAATGTATGAGGAATAAAAATGTGAGTTTGAAGATGTAATAACATATTTAATCATTAATTTATTCCTTATATTCTGAAGATTTTGACAATCTCAGTTGATTTACTTCAAATTTGGAACAATCATGCAACAGAAATATACAGTATACCTGAACAGTAATGTTCTTTATTACACATATTATAACTTTATGAATAGCCCCAGGAAGAGACTAGAAATCAAAGTTATAGGGTCAGTATTCATACAACTTTAACTACAATAAACTGCAATATAATTTAAATAATAAGTAATTAAAATACTGGTCTTAAACAATGAGTCTACATATAAACTGCTTATCCCTGATTAGTGTTGTACAGTGGTCCCTCGGTTAATGAACACAATTCGTTCCACAGAGTCGTTCGTTAACTGAAAATTTCGTTAACCGAGTCCATTGTTTCAATGGGATATTGGGTAATTGGTTCCAGCTCACAGAAAAGTACATACAAAGTAAAAAAAAAATGCAGTAAAGTACACTTACTTTGAGGTGTGTATGTAGAAGGTTCCTGGTTGATGATGATGATGGGAATTAGAAGTGGGGGTGGAGGAGAAGGGAGAAGAGAAGGAAGTGGAGATGGAGGAGAAATCACTTTTCAGGGGACCCATGCTTGATGTAGTAATTTCATGAATAAAATTTTAAGTTCACTAGGTGTAATTCAAGATTATTTTATTTAAATCAACACTGCACTATATATTATCAATATGTTAACTAAATTTCAGAATGACCAATGATTTTAATGTAAAAATGCAAAAATATTCAAGACACCAACAAAATCAATGTTCACTCCACTGACGCCTGGTGGGCGAGTCAAGTGGCTGATGGGCGCACAAAAAACTAGCTTCCTGTACTGCATATATTATCAATATGTTAACTAAATTTTAAAATGACTAATAATTTTAATATAAAAAATGCAAAAATATTATATAGCACAACTTTCTTGATATTTATTCCACAGGAAACGAATGTAAACATAGAACAGATTACTGAATTGGCAGACTAGCCCATCAGCTGATCAGCTGATGCTCACAACAAAACATGTTTGTCGTAAGGATTTCGTTAATCAAAGTTTTGTTCGTTAACCAAATTGAAGATCCTTATGGGAGGTAATTCGTTAACCGAAATTTCATTAATCGAACCGTTCGTTAGCCGAAGGACTACTGTACTTAGTATAAACATAAAGAGAGAGACCAGGGAATACCTACTTTACTTTTGGCATAATTATGATTGATATACAGTACTTTATATTTAGTTTTAATTCTATATTTCTTCTTTCAGGAAATTGTCACTACAAAGTTTGAAGTGTCCAAGATGCAGTAATGATGGGAAACATCTTTGCATATAAGTCCATTCCACAAACCCATTGCTCGTGTCGTTAAGGATTTTTTTTTCTAGAGATAAAATATTTTATGTGGAATAACCAAAGTTAATTTGTTTTATTTTGACATAATCAAGTTTGACATTTTTGATCTTGATTGATTGTGTGGTTGAATGGTTTGTGTGTGGCTTGGTCTTGGACCTGTTAAGGTTCAGCAGTGTGAGACTTCCTCCTTACAGAATACTCTACTGGTCCAGAGTAGTCATTTTCCCATGTACTCTACTGTAATACATGTTTTCAAGGTATGTAAGATTTTTTCTCCTTTTTTGTAGTGAGAGAAAATGTGTCATTATGAGATAATTCTTGAGTTGCAAAAATTAGTGTTATGTATTTCATGCATCTCATCTAAACCCTTTAGGGCTATTGCCTTAAAAATTTGGTTGATGGCCCAGGTGATGGATTTTCAGGATACAGGTATAAACAATAATCAGAAATTTATTCTTAGGTAAGAATATATTTACTTTAATATCTTTGTTATTTATAGTTGCCCACTTTATTGAGCCTAATCTATTAGCAGTTACCCATTGATACATTTTAGAAAATTTTACAGATGTGAGAGAAACCATATGTGTGGAGGAGTAACTATGGTGATCTTTGGCTTAACTCTGATGATGAATAATTACTCTCTTATGCTACTGTTTTAATACTAAGATGTGCACCTCAGGCAAATTCATATGTGTGGTGGGCTGGCTAGGGATCCATATAATCTCACTTAATTGTTCAATTGTGGTCAGACAATATAATAAAGTAACAGCTGTGGGAATCATTCAAAAGGGTTAAAAGTTGAATCATTTTTCGTTACAGAGTATATTGTTCTCATGGTGTATGTAAAATGGAGGTCATTTTTGTGAATGTATTGCCCCCCCCCAAAAAAAAAAAAAAATTACATATTTATACAATCCATCCACCTGTTCTGCTGGGGTGTGAACTGGTTGTGAAGTTCTTGATAGGTACAGTGCAGCCTTATGATTTACAGTATTAAGAGGCATGTCATAATTACAGTAATATCTCTCTCTCTCTCTCTCTCTCTCTCAAATGCAGCCACTCCTTGTGTGGTGTTTCTGCATTATTTAATGCTTACACTGTTGAATATGGAAACAAAAGGTAGATATGTTTTGTAAGGAAGGATTTTGTAATGTACAGTGTGTTTGGTTAAAATATCAACATAGTTTTGTTTGATATGTCGTTAGTACACTATTTTCCATATGTATATTACTTTACCAGATTGTACAACTTCAGTTGGCATTAGAACTTTCACAATATGTTTATTATTGAGATTTTAATTTTATTATATACAAAAAAGAAAGGTTTGCTCATATTAACAGTGCCAGCGTTAATATAGAGATCTCTATCACTAACACCGTACAAGGTAAGTAATATACACAAAATTCAGCACGTGTGTATCAACTGTTGTTTGTTAATCTACAGACTAGGGTTCCATTCATACATTTAATAAAATAAAATTTTTGTTTTGATGTAATTGGCATTTGACTTTCTGTATAACATGCAATGTAAAAAAAAAATTACCTATTTATTTATACATCTTAGCCTTCCTCCTACTCATTGTGAGGCATTGTATGTTAGTGTCACATTATCTAAGATGAACTTAAAAAGAAATAGTTCTTGTCATTTTGGTGATATCTTTGTATGTGAGAAGAGAAATAATATGCTTGTGAAATAGAAGAAATTGAAGAACATTAAATAAACCATTATTTTAGCTCTAGCTTTTGAATTGTAGAGTTCTACCAACTGAAGTATTAATGAAATTCTGGCCAAGCTTTAATTGTGATTGAGATGTTTTCTGATGAGCTCTGTGGGATATTTATATCACTTTCTGTGCCGGGTATTTATTACTTTTTGTTGGGGGTCATAGTTAAATTTTATATTTATATCAGTAATGATACTCAGCTAGAATGTTACCTTGCTGAAGTAAATTAGGATCTTACTGATACTAGAATAACGGTCAAGTTTATAAATGTGCTACATGAGCAGATTGAGACCTGACCCACTTGTACATGGGTTTGGTCTCAAGGGGATAAGAGGTCGATTCTCAAAAAATTTTAGTCCCACACAGCATGGTGCTTAATGAGTTTTTTTCCTTAAGTAATTTATAATTTGGTATGTATCGTACTTTCATTGTAAATATTGTCAAGTTCACAAATGATTTTATTGTAATTTTATATCACTAAAATGAAATTCTGCCCTTCATTTGCTGTATTAAAATCGTTAAATCCTTTCATTGGGTAAAATGTCTGCACTCATCAAAATAGTTCAGCAATTAGTTAAACCTTCCTCTGTACAAATGAATCTTGGTAAAATGAGTGTTTATTGAAGCCTCGTCATGGTGTTTGGTCCATCAGTCACACTTGTTACTCACTTTCAATCTTAGATGATCAGACTCCTTATCGTATAAATTTTGGGGATGTATTCTAATGACAGAGCTTCTTCAAAATGTATAAAAATTTATTCATAATTCAGAAAAAATCACTTTAATTTAGAATAAATCTGGAAAAAAATAATATTTCATTGAATCAATAAAAAATCTGAATAAAAGTGGAGTTCTCTAAATGCTGTACATGTTTAGGTAATACTTAAATATAAGTTATATAATTCTTGTGTTAGTAATGTCTGCATAATAAAATTACCTAAAACACCTGTGCTAGGAGTAAATAAAGTTTAATTATCATTTACAAAATTATCTTTTCTTGAGAAATAAAATATTTGGTGGGCTGGAAGATGGGGGATGTGATGTTGGTTTGCATACTGTAGAAGGCAGATGACATGAGCCTGCTAAACTAACCCTGACTTAATGATTTTGAATTATTTTGGGTAAGCTCAGGTTAGGTTATTTTGATATGTTTATTTTGGTTGGTTGATTTTACATGCAATTAGAAGTAAATATGTATCTAACAACTTTGCATCCATTATCCATGAGTCCATTTGATGTATTCTTTGCAAGTTTTATCAAGGATCAAAATTACTCCAAAGAATAAAGAAAAATCATTATCATAATCATTGTTTTACGGCCATTTTTCATGTTTGCACAGGTTAGTCATGATTACCTGGTGGCACTGTTTTCCAGTTGCCATGAAGCATTATATGTAAGACTTTCAAATGTCCTTTTAGCTGGCGAGGCAGGGTTGATATTCCATTAATTAGAAGACAAAATTACATTAATTTTTAAGCAGGCGTTACAATACTTAACAAGCACCAAGTCGGATGAGTTGTTGGTTTGATAAGTTTGTGCTGTAACCGATTTTAATTTACATCTAATATGCTTACAGTATATGAAGTTATTTAACAATGAGGTCAGGTTGGTCCATTACAGCTAGGGTATTGCAGAAGTGAAATGGATACAATGGCACATAATTGTGCAAAGAAACAAAGATATTTTTGTAACTAAAGAAACAAAGAAATACAATCAATCAAAAAATTTAGAGTAAACAAAAGAATAGAAAAGGAAGGTGTTGAGTGTAATAAAGTTTATTATAAACTTCAATAAAGTAAAGTGTGGTTGGAACTTGGAAGTTATGTATGAGGCCACAGCTTATGCCTTTCACTCAACCCTCGGTGTACTTGATCTTGGCAGACAAATTAAATAGTTTGATATTTATTTTGGCTGTCAGATTTCTAGAAGTGTCAGTAGTTGAAAATAAATCAATATACTGTACAGTAATATACTAGTAACAGCCTTTCACTAGTTTAAATTGATATCCATATATGAAATTATTGTTGGTCTTCCTTATAAAAAGATTAACTGGAGGAGCAAAACAATATGCCAAATTGTGTACTCGGCATAAAATACTGTACAGAGCTGTTTTATTTTCTTGTTTAAGTATATCTTATGAAGCATTATACCTGTACCTGTACATTTTTTTCTACCCACTGTATGTATGTAAAGTTAATGGAAGCAATATTTTCCTCCAGGCCTTTTCCTGCTTAATACAGGTTGGTCAGAAACAAGAGTAAATGCACAAGCACACTTTATCCTTCATTCACTGACTTATATTCATTCTTACTCCTGTAAAAGATGTGGTCTGCCATGGTACACCTTCTACAAAGTCCTAAGTTTAGTTAATGGCCATAAATATGTAATATGCAGTGTTTATTGTTAGATTCACTTACACAGTTTATGCTACTTAATACTGCAAAACCATTTAAAGTGGAGTGATGTTCATTGGGGCTTTCTTTTCGGTAATGTGAAGTGGGTTCATTCAATTATATCTTCTGACTATTCCCCTTGGCTTTATTAATATTTATTGGTACAGTATATGATTGTAAATTATCACCAGCTCAAATAATATTGGTAAATCATCCTGCAGTAAATCATGCACCAGAATATATAGAACTGCATTAGTGATGTCTTTAGAATAATCTTGCATACAAAAGTGTGAGCAATATCCAGGTTTTGGGTGACAAAATGACCTTTTTTTTTAAGTCCATGGGGATAAACTCTTTCCCAATACTGTCTAATGCCTATGAACAAACTGAGATTATTTATTTATAAGTTGAATGTGATAATTATTACATTGTGTGATATTTCTTAGTATGTAACTATTATCTGATTACTACATGTGATCCACCATTTACCTTTCATGGAAGCCCATTTGTTTTAGTAATACGATATGCTTCATGTTGACTCCATGGTAAAGCATTGGTTTGTAGAAAATATTTAAGAGAAATGCTTAGGAGTGTTGAGTATTATCAATTAGCCTGTATATTTATTTAATTTTTTGTAAACCTTTGATTCACTATAACTAGCAAAGTGCTAAAAAAAGATTATTAATTTGTGTGTAATGGTCAGGTAACTTTCAATATGACAATTGCTATTTTCTCTAGTCTTCAATTCAAAGCATATTACTCTTAACCATATGCAATGTAAATTATATTTCATTTTTTTTATTTGGGTAACTCCTGTACAGTACAGTACAGTACAGTATAGTATTTACTTTAAATGAAGATGATAGCCATGTCACTCTTGTTTTAATCCTTCAAACTATTTCCTGTAACAAAGTAAGGTAGCTGGTATCAAGAGCAGTACAAACACACATATTTCCCACTCATTAATTCTCACTGATGTAACGGTGAAATATACTATGGTATCCCTCTTCCACAACAAGGCCCTAAATCTAGTTTACATCTCTTGCTTTTGGTTATGCTCTAAAATATAGGAGAACATGTTTAAGACAGTAGGTTCATGTTGATATAATGTACAGAATCTAAAATATACACTTGAAAATTTACTGTACTGTACTTGTATTTCTTCAGTGTCTTATACTTATGTTTGAATTGCCTTTGATTTTTTTTCTTGAGATGTGTATTTTCACTGACTGACATGGGTTGGTATACTGTACAGTACAGGTATTTTGCTTTAATTAAGGATCACTTTTGTAGGTCTTGAATGCAGATACTGTAGTACTTTATTTAGAATGAAATAATCTTGTGAAGCCTTGTCTTATGTTCACTGAGAAAAATGTTGATTGTAAAACTTTGTACTGTACTATGTAAAGTTAGTGCCTGAGGATAGCTTGATGAATACTTAAGTTACATTGATAGATATTATTTACCATCTATGAAATGTATAGCAGTATGGTTGAAGCTGTTGAGTAAAATAATCTCGGATTGTGTTAGACAATTTTTTTAAATGCCTTCAAATTTGCAGTTTAGTATGGCACCTGTTCTCATCTGTCATCTTTCTGCTGAATGAATTTGAAAGTATGAATAAACTTTTTCAACAAGTATAAACAGATTATTGCAGTATTCTCAGTGAATTGGAGATATTTAAAATTTCAGTGCTCAGAAGAATACTGCTGAAATTGTAAAGCTTGAAGTAGATATGAATTATAATTCTTTTTTCTTCCACTTGAGAAGGTAGATTTTGGTTTTGAATTCATCTGTCAATTACAATGGGAAATATTTGTTGTTCAACTAAGTTCCTCTAGATATTCAAATCGAACAATGGGTTGTCATTCTTATGCTTTCCAAAGGATCCAAAAGGTGAATTGTTGACCTTTTGCACATCAGACAAGGGAGAGTGTTAATTCGTTTTTATTAGTTCTTTATTACCTTTTTGTGTGTGAAACTTACAATGATTCTTTCTTCAGAATTTGTCAGTTAAGAACAGTGGCAGCAGAAATAAAATTTTTAAAGATAAGGCAACATTCTTTTTAAGGGTTTCTGAATTGTTTAACAGATACAACATTTTCATTAAGCCAATCGAAATTAGATAATTTAAAAGTCTCATATTTAAATGTAGAGTGATCTTTTATACAACAGTGACTGACAGAATAATGAAGATAATTCTATTAAAATGCATTTTCAAATTCTAGTGGAACTGATTGACATTTTCAAACAAGTGTGGGGAGATTTAAACTTAGTTTGGGATATTTAAATTATTTTCTTAAGAAACTTTACCATTTGATGGCTATACCCAACACCATTACTCAGGAGTATTTTCAGATTTTTCTTTATCTTTCTTTTGCCACGAAATATTCTCCTTAATTTCTGTTTCTTAAAGTGCTCACACAGTAATGCAGTCAAGCTCTGTTGATCCTGTTCCTTGTAGTTTTGTATTCCTGGTCATGTCTTGTTGTTTCACTACTGTATATGAGAATTTATATATAATTTTTTTTTTTTACACCCTATTGGTTTTTTTTTTTGTATCATGATATCAAAACATTTGATGTTAAAAACAACATGTTGTTTTGCAGGAATCCATTGTTATGATAGAATTTCAGATTTAAAATCAAGTCGCAGCAAACCTTAATCAGTAAATAAGATGCAAGATGGAGTGTGAGTAGCAAGGACCCAGAATTTGGGGAGGGATAAATTCCCTAAATCATCTCAAATATGCTAGACTGTCAATTGATTGTAAGTGTCCAAAGAAGGGCCACCAGACTGGTGCCTGCATTATGGAACCTTAGTTTCCCAGAGAGATTAGAACGACTGCAGCGACCTCTCACTTTACAGGTACTCCTCGACTTACGACCGCCTCAGTCGTATAAAATATTTTTCAAATTAAGTATTTTCGAGTCCCGACGTTAGTGATCGCGCTGTGGACTGACAAAATTTTCGTTTGTAATTCCCTTTAAAATGGCTGGCAAGTATAAAAGTGAGAGTTCTCGTGGTGCTGAGAAGAAAAAGAGACACCCATTTTAGATTTTCTATGTATTATTTTCGCCTTACGACCAATTCGACTTATGACCTGGTCGTTGGTTCAGAACCCAGTCGCAAGTCGAGGAGAGACTGTACTCAGTACTACTGCAGTCTGGCAAGGGGTGACTTAATTAAAGTTTATAAAACAAACAAAAATTAAATAATAAAATAATGATGATAATAATACAGTAACTGTAATACAGGTTGACAATCCTTTATCCGAAATCCTTGGAGCCAGAGGCATTTCGGTTTTCGGAATTTTTCGGTTTTCAGATTTTTTTTTTTTTTTTTTTTAAATGTGTATTAGCCCACCCGGGCATAGATCACTGACCCACATTGGGGCCTGGAGGTCGAAAATATAATAAAAATTATAATAATAATAATAATTCATAGGTCTAGGTTGTGAGAATAAAAATTATAATAATAATAATTCATAGGTCTAGGTCGTGTTTCTCACTTCTTTTTTTCATTCTTGTATTTCTTTACTGTATTATTATTTTATTATTACAGTATTATTGTTATTATTATTATTATTATTATTGTTATTGTTGTTATTAATTTTATTATTATATTTTATTATTATTATTATTATTGTAATCATTATTATTTTATTTTGGTGCATTTTTATTAAAATTTTTATTTACTATGAATAATTATTATTATTATAATTATTATTACTATTACATTTTCGCCCCCCAGGCCCCGATGTGGGTCAGTGATCTGTGCCTGGGTGGGCTAATAATCCCTGTAAAAAAAAAAAAGCAGCCCTACAAAAAAACTTTCAGATTTTAGAGCTTTTCGGTTTTCGGAATTTCGGATAAAGGGTTGTCAACCTGTAATAATAATATTAATAATAAAGAACTATAAATACAAAAATGCAAAAAAAGATCAAAAGTGAGAAACGATATATGTGTGTTGTGTTGTCAATGGTAAGAGAAACAATTGAGACCTTGCAATTGTGTATAAATGAAGCAGAAAGTCAGATTAGCAACCTGGGACTTGGTCACAATTTTCGTGATGCCAAATGGCAGCAGGGTCTACCATTAGACAACACATTATGCTTCCAATGTCTTCCCAGGCAGTAGTACCTCCCTGTTTGGTAAAATGCTTGAAGTTGCCTATAGCATATACTATAGACAGGCAAGGGTATCCATACCTAGAGCTGGCAAATGCCTGCTCCACTACAGGTCACAGGTCAGCTCAAGCTTGAAGAAGCCACAAGTCCAGAAAACTGTGAGGGCAAACTCTTTCAGAGTGAGAATTTTAAGATCTTATAACAATCTGCCAGAGGGTGTTGTGATGGTTCTGAGTGTGAGCTCTTTCAAGACCAGACTTGACTAACACTGAAGCAGTTTCAGATACATTCAGGAGCCTCTGCAAGCCCAGTACTTGCCAACAGTGTGTAACGGATGTGACCTATCGCCCAAGTTGCTAACGAGCTGATCAGTGGTGAAGAGGTGTACTGTACAGTATAATCAAGTCATCAAAGTAATTATTCTTGAATAAGGTGCTATAGGGGTTGTTATGTTGGTACCCATGGGGAAAAGGGGTAATGACAAAAAACATTTGGGAACGACTGATTAAAATATTTGCTCTACATGATTCTACATTCATTTACAAATTTAGTTCCTTACACTGGTTTGGCTTCTACTAATAATACAGTGATATCCCCATTAGCCGGAACAATTGGTGCAGAGCACTTCCGGGAATGAGAGATTTCCGGGTAATGAGATGACTCGAAACCGGAAAAAATCCCTCATCCCCGGAATTTTCCAGGTAACGGAATTTTTTCTCTGAATTTCCAGAAAATGAGCCTGATTTTCATCTCTCAAACCCGGAAAAAACTACCCCATCCCCGGAATTTTCTGGATATCAGGAAAATTTTCTTAGAATTTTCCGGAAAATGTGCCCCACGGAAAACCGTTCCCAAAGCCAAAATTTCTTCTCAGCACCACAAAACTCTCATTTTTAAGCTTGCCATTCGTTTTAAAGTGAATTACAAACGAAAATTGTGTCAGTACACAGCGCAATCACTGACGTTGGGACTCGAAAATACGTAATTCGACAAAATTTTGGTAAGACTGAGGTGGTCATAAGTCGGGGAGTAGCTGTACTGTATTAATGTATAAAATGTGTCTGTTTAGGCCCTGGTCTCCATGTTATGGTACAAATTTACCCCATCATATATCATTGCAGTTAAATCTAACATAAAAAAGTTGGTGATATTAATTTTGACAGAGTGACACCTCAATACAATGATATATGAGAACGAAATCCAGATAAGCAACATTTATTCTGATTAGGTATTTACATGCAAAATCATTGGACCGAAAAAGTTATTATTCAGTGTAATCTGTCATGAGATTTCTGAGTCACTCTCAAACTAGGAAAAAATTGCATAATACATATACTGTAAATGTTTCTCAAAGTCACTATAGACTTGTAGATACTTCTCTTTTACTTCTTTATAAGCAGGTTACCAAGAAACAAATTTACACAATAATGCAAAATACACAATACTGATACATTGGTATAGTGTATAACAATAAGGTGAGTTTCAAAAGCATCATTTAGGTTTCAGGTCATGTAAGGTCACTTAGACAACACATTTGCCCTGACCTCACTTGGCACTACCTGGGGTGAAGATTCTGGCCTGATTAACCTGTGACAATATGTTCTCTTGTCGGTACTGGTCATTAACATGCTGGCCAGTAATATCGGTGCCGACACGACAATCATGACACTTGCCAAGTCCGGGTTGGTTGTGCCGGGGTCCGGACAAAGCCCTCGGGTTTGGTTAGGTTTGTTCAAGGGGGTTTTGTCAGACACTCGGTTGTGCCATTTTTTCCTAATTTGACAGTTGTGCCTGTGGGGTTATGAGATATTGGTTCACACTCAGGATGGGATGGAGAAAGGAAACTCACAATGTGCTCTCTGTATACATATTGTATTGGATGTATAATGCAGCTTGGTGCTGGGTAGGCAGCATGGTTACAAGCGTTGAGTAGAGAGAGCTGGTTGGTGAGGATGCCCAGAGGAGGGCATGTAGCTTGAGGGACGCCAAGGTCACCGGCGGGAGCAGGAGCTGCTAGGCTGGAGCGAGGAGGAGGTGTTGCTTGCTGGTAGCCATAGGTAGAAAGAGGGTAGTCACAGCGGGGGGAGGTCTTATAAGGCGGGGGTAGGCGTGGGTTGATAGTTGACCCCCGCTCCGTCAGGCAGCGCTGGAGGCGTAGACTGGGGAATTCGAAAAGGGTTGGCTACTCAGCGACAAACGGCATTTGTTGGGGAGGAATCCACTACATGCCATTTTTTTGTAATTTGATAGTTGTGCCATTTTTGTTAAGCCATTTTTTCCTGTGCCATTTTTCCTGAGCCTTTTTCCTGCACAATTTTTCCTGTGCCATTTTTTTCCTGTAACAGGTTATCATATTGTCTGTTGTAGGGAAAGCATATTCTTTATATAATACAGTATAGTTTAGTGAGTAGAGTGAGACTGCCCACAAATGCGTGAGTCCAAGTGGTTCTGCTCTGATTAATATAGGGGTGAAGATGAACAAGGGATAGTCACAGGAAATAATGCAACAAATAGGTAATAAAACTATAAAAAGAAAATTAACACAACGAAGACAGTTAATGTCTAGCCAATCGCCAACTGCCGTTCCAACAGAGGATACTATTTGGCCATGTATAGAAAATCATTGGTGATGATTTTGCCGCTTACAGCGGCTACTTTATTGTGCACCCCACACTCATCCTGTGAACGGTAGCGCAAAAGGATTACAGAGTAGTTTATAACGGGTCATAATAATTAACCCCCGTTGTCAGGATATTATGGCACTGAATGTTACACAGCATTTCAATTACATTATTTGTTTAGTTCTTATACATAAAGGGTAACTTTTCACAAATGCGTGGGTACAGGCGTGTGAGGCAGATGTCTGACTGCACACTTTGTTATTCACATTTGTGTGAGAAGTATTCAAGCACATTGTGTATTTGGTTCTATACATGAGAACTGATAGTTATTAAGTGCAAAGAAGTGGATACAATCTTTATATATCGAGGACGTAGTGTTCAAGTGTGTGGCTATATATCTGGCCACACACTTGACATTTAGTCTTGTTTACATCTGCTTGAGGAACATAATGCCAGTAGTACTTATATCTTAACCTTAATCTAGGGGTTGCAACATCTTGTAATCTAGTGATCTAGGTAGTGGGCAGCTATCAAACAGGGAGGTACTACCACCTGGGAAGATATTGGAAGCATAATGTGTTGTCTAATGATAGACCCTGCTGCCATATGGCATCACGTGATCTGACTTCTACTTCATTTACACGCAATTGCAGGGTTTCAATTGTTTCTCTTACTTTGACAATACAACATACATAATGTTTATCATTTCTCATTCTTGATTTATTTTTTCGATTTTGTATTTATTTATGATTATGATTGTTTAATATATATATTTGTTTTAGTATTTTGTTTTTAATATTTATTAATTATTATAATAATAATAATAGTTATTATTATTATTATTATATTTTCGCCCCCTAGGCCCTGATGTGGGTCAATAACCTGTGCCCGGGTGGGCTTATCCCCGGAAAAACAAATAAAAATATACATGTTTCACGTGATTCATCTCATCATGGTAAACTATGGATCGACTAGTGCCTGTTTGTACTTGTCTACTTGCGTCAAATTCATCAATAAGTTCTTTCCTAATTACAGTTTTAAGGGTTCTTTTTGACAGACCCAAATTGTATTATGGAGATAGGGGAGGGGGAGTGAGATGCCTCACAAAGCTTATATAAGAGGGAGCGGGCGCTGCGGCTGCAGTATCAAATCAGGATGGCTCTGCAGCAACTGGGCTCTCTTCTACGCTACCCGTCATGAGCCCCTGACTACTATCCCCTGTCTTCAGCTGTACCTAGCCTACTTAACAAACAAGCTGTTAGAATATAACTTACACAAAATCCTCAAATTTTAAAAGTAGAGGACTCGCATGAATGTTTGGGTTCAAATTGTGATTCTATAACTGAGTGTTTTTCGTCCTGATAAACTGACAACTCGAATCTTATCTCAACAGTGGTTGGGTTGCGTCACCTTTTGCCAAGATGAAGATCAACAAGGACCTCCTGCCCATCAAACTCCACTATTTCCTCAGATATGCAGGTAAGCATATATATATATATATATATATATATATATATATATATATATATATATATATATATATATATATATTTATATATATATATATATATGCAAGTAAATCACTGTAGGTGCGCGTGATCTAGGTATATGCTGATAACCACAAGGAAAGAAGAAAACACGAAGTTCCCAGGCGTTTTCGTGTAATTCACATCTTCAGGGGTGAGTCAGTTGTGGGGTTCAATATGTTTGGTTCACACTCAGGATGGAATGGAGAAAGGAAACTCACAATGTGCTCTCTATATACATGTTGTATTGGATGTACAATGCAGCTTGGTGCTGGGAAGGCAGCATGGTTACAAGCGTGATGTAGAGAGAGCTGGTTGGTGAGGACTCTCAGAGAAGGACAGCTTGTGGGTCGCCATGCTCGCCGGCGGGAGAGAGGACCGCCAGGCAGGCGGAGGAGCGAGGGCCGCCAGGCAGCGGCGGAGGAGGAGGTGTTGATGGCTGCGGCTGTAGGTAGAAAGAGAAAGATCACCACGAGGTCAGGTCTTAAATAGCAGGGGTAGGCGTGGCTTAGCAGTTGACCCCCGCTCCGTGGTGTATGGCGGCGCTGGTTGACCTAGACCACGAGGCATACACTGGGGAATTGGTGGGGTCGGCTAGGCAGTGACAAACAGCGTTTGTAGGGGAGAATTCCACTACACTGTACTCACCCCTGAAGATGTGAATTACACGAAAGCGGAATTCTACATACAATCAACACCTCAACCCACCAGGATTCGAACCCACGGCCCACTAGCCCATGACTGTGACCGGGGAACGCTAACTTTTATTAATTTATGTTTTGCATTTGAATTGCATAATAACTAACTAGAAGAGCGCGAGGCCACCAAAAGCCTAAGGCCCAGGGCGGCCGCCCTGCCTCGTCGCCCCCCTCCCCCCTTGGGACGGCTTTAACAACACTCCAGTTCATATGCAGCATTTTGTTTGTATCACTTAATGCTGAAAAATCGTAATTGAGGTTAAATAGACCAATGCTAATGCGGCATAAAAAAGTAAGATATTCTCTTTGGTATATTCATCTCCTCTGCCCGTTGTTGCAGGGTCTGCTCCACAGACGTTGCTGCTGCCGATGATGGTACGACAGAAGGGGTTGTCTACCCAGGTAGTGGGGCTGTTGTGGACGGTGCTGCCCATAGTAGGACTCATTACCAACAGCGTCTTGGGCACTATGGCTGACTATTATAAGGCACACCGCACAGTCTTCCTGGGCAGCATCATCTTCTTAACGACGGGCATCACCGCCATATACTGGACACCGAAGATTTGCTTTAATGAAGTGGTTCTAAATCCCAATCACAATCTCACAGCCTTCACCTCAAACCAGAGCTTCACTTTTCTCAACCTCACCGTAGACACAACCTTCACCAAGCATTCTAACGTACTTGATGACTCTATGTCCCGCATAGACCAGCAAATGGTCGTGGAGGGCCAGGCTCCGCCCCTTGATCTCATGGTGTCATCAAGGGGGGAGTTAGCCATCCAAGCAGACACCATCGCCGGCTTCGTCAAATATCCCCAGTTTTGGCTCGTCTCCCTCTGCCTGATGATCGAACAGATGGGTATCATTACTTGTGTCACGATCTCTGACGCCGTTTGCTTCCAGATCCTTGGTAAGAAAGACTGTCTTTTTATGATTTTATTTATTTTTGTATTTCATCTATTGGTCGATAATTTGTATGTATTATATTTGTTTGATAAACCATAGTGGACCTACTTGATAAAAAACTTAGATTCAATAATTTTTTCTCGTGATTTTAGGGTCGGAGCGACAAAAGTACGGACAGCAACGTCTGTGGGGAACCATCGGCATGGGTGTGATGGCTGTTATATCTGGCGCCTTGGTAGACGTGTACTCCCGTGGCCTTCCCCAGCAGGACTATCTCCCAGCCATCATCTTGTGCATAGTGCTGATGACCATCGACCTGGCGGTGGTGGCGAGAATAAAGATTCCCTACACTAAGGGTGTCAAACTCAACCTGGGAGATGTGGGCCATGTCCTACGGCGTCCCCAGGTCCTTCTATTTTTGGTGAGTTGACAGTCACGTGACCGTATATTATTTGGACATAGAGTTGCTGCTTGTATACACCTGTCAATAGTTTCGTAATCTTTGTTTTAAAGACCTTGTTTCTGTTTTTCTGGCAATTGTTGTAATAGACTACAGGTATTGCTTATGATTCTTTACATATACCAGTTATGTTATTTAACACTGAGCACTGAAGGCGGTGTGGGTGAGGATGTTCAACTGTGCTAAATTTGTGACCGGTAACCTTTTTTTTTTACCTTTATCCTCTTCACCACTGATCGGCTCGTTAGCCGCCCGGGCGATCGGTCACGTCTTTGTTACGCACTGTTGGCAAGCACAGGGCATGCACCGGCTCCTGAATGTACAATCAAAGACAAAAGTCGTGTCGCGGTTTTGTCCGAAGATTAAATATAACTCGTGAAACATTATGAGAGCCCTACCACAGTTACATACTCGTGGTTGGCGAGCACCAAAAGTATAGCCCTTCGGCATATGTTTTCACCAAATTTCACGACACCATTTTTGTCTTATATTGTACCTGAACCTGCTCCAGTGTTGGTCAAGTCTGGTATTGAGAGAGCTCACACTCGGTGCCGGCACAACACTTTCTGGCAGATTGTTCCAAGAATTCACAACTCTCACTTCGAAAAGTTTGCCCTCACAGTTTTCTGGACTTGCGGCTTCTTCAACCTTGAGCTGTGACCCCATGTGGGGCGAGCGTTCGCCAGCTCCAGATAAGGACCCTCGACTGAGTAGTGCCCCTTGAGATGCTTATACACCTCAATTAGGTCGCCCCTTGCCTGTCTGTAGTATAAGCTAGGCAAGTTCAGGCGCTCCAATCTCTCAGAGTAGTTGAGGTGCTGAAGTGCAGGCACCAGTCTGGTGGCCCTCCTTTGAACATTTTCAATCAACTGACAGTCCCTAGTATATCTCGGGGACCAGACGGGGTGACAGTACTCCATATGGGGAAGCAATTCACTCTTGAAGAACGTTACGAGGGGGCGGACCGCCTAGATATCTGAACGACCTTCTGATAAGAGCTAATAATTTAGTTGCCTGGTTTACCTTCTTCTCGTAATGGCCTGAGAACTTCAGCTCATTGTCAACATACACACCTAGGTCCTTCTCACATTCAGTTTCAAATAGTGCAGTTTCTTCATCCCGTTTGGGACATATGATGCGCCTCCTTACCGTTGGTACGCCCCAGATGCATCCTCTTGTGTGTTTTATCCTCTTTACCACTGATCGGCTCGTTAGCCGCTTGGGCGATCAGTCACGTCTCTGTTACGCACTGTTGGCAAGTACTAGGTATGCACTAGCTCCTAAATGTATCTGAACCTGCTCCAGTGTTGGTCAAGTCTGGTCTTGAAAGAGCTCACACTCGGTGCCGACACAACACTTTCTGGTAGATTGTTCCAAGAGTTCACAACTCTCACTACGAAAAAGTTTGCCCTCACAGTTTTCTGGACCTGCGGCTTCTTCAATCGTGACATTGAATCTCAGCAGCCATTTCTTCAACCATTCTTGGAGCTCACAGAGATCCTTCTGCAGCTCTTTATAGTCCGCTTGGTTCTTGATTTCCCGAAATAACTTGGCGTCATCTGCAAACATTTATATGGAGGAGTGTACAGCGTCAGGCATGCCATTTATGAAACAAACAAACAACAGCGGGACCAATACACTGCCCTGTGGTACCCGCTTGTGACAGGTACAGATGATGATTTCGTGCCATTAACCACCACACACTGCTTGCGGTCATGTAGAAAGTCTTCCATCCAAGCTTGGACATTTCCCCAAATTCCGTACCCTTCCAGTCGAAAGCCTTGGCAAAATCAAGGTATAAATTGTCGATGTTACCACACTGTTCCAGAAAATGGGTCCAAATATCCAATACCTTGAGCAATTGTGTTAAGCCTCTGCATAAAACAGTGTTGGCATTCCTTTACAGGGTTGTTTTGTTGTAGATGTTCCATTGCGGCATCTCTGATAATGCTCTCAAATACTTTACATACTACGTTGGTCAGGCTCACCGGTCTATAGTTGTTCGTGGAGTGACGATCGCCCTTCTTGAAGGTAGGACTCACATAAGCCATTTTCCAATCACTGGGGCCCTTTTGTTCATCCAGGCATTTACAGAACAGGATCTTCAGGGGCTCGGCAAGCTCGTTGCTCAACTCTTTTAACACTCTGGGATGCTCCATGTCAGGGACGGGACTTTTATGGACCTTTAGCTTTGACAGTTTATTTCCTACACCCTCTTCTGTGAGCACAATGTGGGTCAGTGCTGTGTCGAACCGTCTGTCCTCAAATGCAGGAAGGTTAATCGCATCCTCTCTTGTAAACACCGAGGAAAAGAAGCTGTTCTATGCCTTAACTTTATCCTGGTCAGAATCTGCGTAACTACCATCTTCGAGCCTCAGGTCTGATACTCCTACTCGCGTTTTAAATTTCGACTTTGCATAGTGGTAAAACGCCTTTGGGTTTGACTTGACCTCGCTTGCAACCAGCCTCTGGAACTCCTTTTCAGCCCTTCTACACTCTGCCTTTGCTTGGTTTCTGGCTCTTGCATACATCTTCCTGTCATGCTCATCGTTTGACCTAACCCACGTCTTGAATTTCGGATTTTCTTCTTAACTTTGTCGATCGCTGCATGGTTCATGTGTAGGGGTCCCCTCGTATTCCTAGTGGCACTGGGTTTGGTCTTGGGTATATGTTTATCGATCAAGTGGGTCACTTACTAGGTGGTGTAGCGGAACAGGTTATAGCTACGTCATCAGTGAGGATTGTGTGTATACAGTACTACTGTAAGTGTTACTGCTGTGTACATTATTTAGATCTTCATATGTTCGGTTCTTTAAGTACCATTTACTGTATTATAGTGTCTACAGTACACTAGATACGGTATTACTGCAGTTTCACTTCCAAGATAGTTGGAGGGGGGGTGATAACTCAAAAACGATTCTATTTCCGACGGAAATGAAGATCAAATTCGAATGATTCACACCAAACTCCACGGGAAAAACCTAGATTTTCAGCAAAAAAAAAAGAAGGTTTTCTCCTCTTGATTTTGACATGTAATTGGTATTTCAGCAGCCAGAGTCCCTAAAAACGCTATACTTTAGCGTCTACATTACATTATTATTTTTTATTTGTTTAATTAAGATGGATTTTGTTAAATGTAGGTAAGAGGAAGCGCAGAGAGGTGTAAGGGAGTACTAAGGGAGTGATGGTTGTAGGTAACAGTGTGTGTGATGGGGTCATCATTGGGTGTGCTGTGGGTGTTCAAGCTAATGTTGGTAGAGGACGTGGCCCTGGCCTGGGACCCGCAGTTCCCCGATCTCAAGCTCCTCCAAGGACTGGTAATAGGAATAGAAGCCTTTGGAGGGGAACTTCTCTCCCTCTTCATAGCAGGTATGTTTATGCTAATACACTGACATTGTGGTTGCCATACTCCTACCACAGTTCTTGTTGGCCGTGCTTTTACGTTTAAAAATTGAAGAAACGGGTGACATTTTGTTTTTAAATAATATTTGGCATATTCTATTTATTATTACTTGTTTACTTTCACGTGTTGCATGTTTAAACATGGTTGGAGTGTTGCCTCTTCAGGAAGACTGATTCAGCGTTTGGGTCACACACTCGTGATGGGATTGGCTTTCGCCGCCATGTCACTGCAATGTTGCCTCGTTTACACCATCACTAACCCTTGGTGGTTCCTGCCACTCCAGTTCCTCAACGGCACGAGCTACGTCCTTTTCCATACAGCCATGTCATCTTACGCCAGCCGTATCGCTCCTCCGGGAGCCCAGTCCACCATGCAGAGCGTCGTCAAGATCTCCTTTTTACTCGGTATGATATTTGTTTACCATTATTTTGACCGGGGGATTGTAGTAAAGCTGGGTAATTATGGCATGGTTTGTCCATGAACTAAATATACAAAGAAAGCTCTTATTAATTAGAGGCACCACAGATATTAGTAAGAAAGCATATACACACACTTAATTGTTGAATACTTTTAGTTTTCTCTTTTTACTTTTATCCTTTTCGCCACTGATAGCCTCGTTAGCCGCTTGGACGGTCGGTCACGTCTCTGTTACACACTGTCGGCAAGTACTGGGCATGTACTGGCTCCTGAATGTATCTGAACCTGTTCCAGTGTTGGTCAAGTCTGGCGTTGAAAGAGCTCACACTCGCTGCCGTCACATCACTCTCTGGCAGATTGTTCCTTGAGTGGAGAGATGATTCAGGGTGGGTTTCAATTCACGATGTAGGCAGCTTCCTACAAACGGATAAAAATAAATAGACAAAATTTTAAATATATAAGATTATTTTGCAATAATAAGAGAAATTTGGTTTGCCTACAGGACAGTCAACGGCCGGGCTCATTGGTGGGGTGTTGTTCCACTTACTGGGTGGCTCCCTCACCTTCCTCGCCCTCGGCCTCGCTGACCTCACCTACCTCATTATCTTCATTGTCTTCCAGTTCCTCCTCAGGAAATATTGCAGACATAAAAAGACCTTTTGTGAGTTCTTAATATTAGACTTCTCATTATCTTTTACTAAAATTATCAAAATTGTTCGATGTGTTTTTTATATAACATGATATAGGCTACAGTGTTATGGGACATAAACCCATGTCAAAGATACATATTTCAAATTAAAGCTAAAATATTGGTCAAGGTAAACCCAGAAAAGATGTGAGAATTTATGTATTTAATTAGTCGGGGTTTGGTTGTTTGGATCGAAGTTAATTTAATATATGTTGCAGGTGACTCATGTTGTGTAGAGCCAGGCAACTCACTCACCTCGGGTGAGAACTCATCTGATTGTGAAAAGATTCCTGAACCCGCCAAGGAGCCACTTGTCGACGATGCGGTGAATGAAAAGGAGAAGTCCCTTATCGAACCTGTGTGAATGCTCACCGTGACTGAAGAATCATTGTAAGCAGACTACAAGTAGAACTCTATATCTCGTAGCTCCTAACTTTGTGAGTTCTGCCCTGTTGTGACAGGTTTTTATAAGTCCTAGCACTACGTGTTTGTAGTGTTTGTAGGTAGTAGGTACATAGGCAGCTACCAAACAGGGAGGTACTCCCGCCTAAGAAGATATTGGAAGCATAATGTGTTGTCGAATTGTAGACCCTGCTGCCATATGGCATCACGAAAATTGTGACCAAGTCCCAGGTTGCTGATCTGACTTTCTGCCTCATTTACACACAATTGCAGGGTCTCAATTGTTTCTCTTACCATTGACAACACAACTTACATATATTGTTTCTCACTCTTGATATTTTTTATTTGTTTGTTTCTTTATGGTTCTTTATTATTATTATTGCAGTGTTATTATTATTATTATTATTATTATTTTATTATTTTTAATTTTACTTATCTGAATTATTATTATTATCATTATTATTATTATTATCATTATTATTATTATTATTATTATTATTATTATTATTATTATTATTATTATTATTATTATTATTATTATTATTATTATTATTATTATTATTATTATTATTATTATTATTACTATTACATTTTCGCCCCCGAGGCCCCGATGTGGGTCAGTGACCTTTGCCCGGGTGGGCTAATCCCCGTTAAAAGGAAAAAAGAAAAAAAAAAAAACGTAGGCTTTCACGATTCCTAGTCGACCGTGATGATTTTAATGAATACAAAGTAGCCTGTAGACTTTCACAAGTCTACGTTTTCTCAGTCGCTCGGGAGCTAGGTGAACACGTGCAGGAACTACCTCCCGAACGTGTTTACCTCGCTCCCGAATGACTGAGAAAACGGCTGGTAGTCTGTAATGTAGGCTTTATGAGTCATAAAGTGTTTAATGTCTCTAGAGTCCATACTTCTTGATTAAAGTATTCAGGAGTGTAACCCATCTCTTGCTTCTATATCTCATGTGGGTTAATAGTAATCCACAATGCTGCATGTACTGTAGGTTCTCACCAGTCTGTACTTCCGCTGTAGGTCTTCACTAGTCTGTACTTCCGCTGTAGATCTTCACCAGTCTGTACATCCTAATGTAAGACCATTTCAGTCTAAACCTTCAGGTGGTCCACACAAGAAGCCTTTACGTAGCAACTTTGAGTGGTTTACTGTGATTGGTCATATTTTGAATGTGGAACATTCCGCCAATACGTAAGATTTATTAATTTAATATGGGCATATCGTAGTCTGTGTCTTAAAACAATAAAAGGTGGCACACGTTCTCAACTTGCAATGGTACAAATCGCCTCAGCAGGTGTATACGAATTCATTGGCTCAGATCTTTTTATTTTCATTTTAACTTTTACAGTCAACTGTGTTGAAGTTTGCCATGTTTCTGACTTTACCTGACAACACGTGAAATAATTGCTCATATTTAACTTTACGGATGTTATTTTAATGACTTCAAACAGTGTTATGACAAAAATGTTGTTCAGAGACAGTATGTGTTATATTTTTCAAATAAAAATGAGCGCCTTAATATATTTACTAATTACTCTTCGTCACATGTTAGTTCACTAGCAACTTAGCAAGGCATGCAACGTAACTGAGCACTTTCCTCCAAACATGTTGCCCGTTTTGCTGGCCGTTGGCCTGACGGCCCAGCAAGCAGCAAGATTTCTGCTGAGAAATGGACAACGGTTTGGCGGGAATCTTTGCTGGCCGGATTAGTGCTCTTTTTTACTTTTACTTTTATCCTCTTCGCCACTGATCGGCTTGTTAGCCGCTTGGGCGATCGGTCACGTCTCTTTTCCTTTATATTCTTCACCAAAAGGTCGGCTCGCTAGCCGCCCGGGCGATCGGTCACGTCTCTGTCACGCACTGTTGGCAAATACTGGGCATGCACCGGCTCCTGAATGTACCTGAACCCGCTCCAGTGTTGGTCAAGTCTTCTCTTGAAAGAGCTCACACTCGGTGCCGTCACAACACTCTCTGGTAGATTGTTCCAAGAGTTTACAACCCTCACTCCGAAAAAGTTTGCCCTCACGGTTTTCTGGACTTGCGGCTTCTTCAATCTTGAGCTGTGACCCCTTGTGGGGCGAGCGTCCGCCAGCTCCAAGTAAGGACACTCAACTGAGTAGTGCCCCCTGAGATGCTTATAAACCTCAACTAGGTCCCCCCTTGCCCGTCTGTAGTATAAGCTAGGCAAGTTCAGGCGCTCCAATCTCTCAGGGTAGCTGAGGTGCCGAAGTGCAGGCACCAGTTTGGTGGCCCTCCTTTGAACATTCTCAACTAACTGACAGTCCCTAGCATATCTCGGGGACCAGATGGGGTGACAGTACTCCAGATGGGGAAGCACTTCACTCCTGAAGATCGTCACGAGGGACGGACCGTCTAGATATCTGAACGACCTTCTTATAAGACCCAATAATTTATTTGCCTGATTTACCTTCTTCTCACAATGGCCCGAGAACTTCAGCTCATTGTCAACATACACACCTAGGTCCTTCTCACACACAGTCTCAACTAGTACATTTTCTTCATCCCGTTGGGACATATGGTACGCCTCCTTGCCGTTGGTACGCCCCAGGTGCATCCTCTTACACTTCGTGACATTGAATCTCAGCAGCCATTCCTTCGACCATTCTTGGAGCCCACAGAGGTCCTTCTGCAGCTCTTCACAGTCCGCTTGGTTCTTAATTTCCCGAAATAACTTGCCATCATCGGCAAACATTTGTATGGAGGAGTGTACAACGTCAGGCATATCATTTATGAAACAAACAAACAACAGCGGGCCCAATACACTACCCTGCGGTACCCCACTTGTTACAGGTACAGATGACGATTTCGTGCCATTAATCACCACACATTGCTTGCGGTCATGTAGAAAGTCTTCTATCCACGCTAGGACATTTCCCCGAATTCCGTACCCTTCCAGTTTGATTTTCAGCCTTTCGTGGGGTACACTGTCGAAAGCCTTGGCAAAATCTAGGTAAATATTGTCGATATTACCACCCCGTTCTAGAATATGGGTCCAAATATCCAATACCTTGAGCAATTGTGTCAAGCAAGAGCGCCCCGGCATAAAACCGTGTTGGCAATCTTTTACAAGGTTGTTTCGTAGTAGATGTTCCATCGCTGCATCTCTGATAATACTCTCAAGTACTTTACATATTATGCTGGTCAGGCTCACCGGTCTATAGTTGTTCGTGGAGTGACTATCGCCCTTCTTGAAGATAGGACTCACATAAGCCACTTTCCATTCACTGGGGACCATTTGTTCATCCAGGCATTTACAAAACAGAATCTTCAGGGGCTCTGCAAGCTCGTTGCACAGCTCCCTTAGCACTCTAGGATGCACCATGTCAGGTCCAGGACTCTTATGGACCTTTAGCCTGGACAGTTTATTTCTAATACCCTCTTCTGTGAACACAATGTGGGTCAGTGCTGTGTCGAACCGTCTGTCCTCAAACGCAGGAAGGTTAGTTGCATCCTCTCTTGTGAACACTGAGGAAAAGAAGCTGTTCAATGCCTCAGCTTTATCCTGGTCAGAATCTGCGTAACTACCATCTTCAAGCCTCAGGTCTGATACTCCTACTCGCGTTTTCAATTTCGACTTTGCATAGCGGTAAAACGCCTTTGGGTTTGACTTGACCTCGCGTGCAACCAGCCTTTGGAACTCCTTTTCAGCCCTCCTACACTCTATCTTTGCTTGGTTTCTGGCTCTTGCATACATCCTCCTGTCTTGCTCATCGTTTGACCCAACCCACGTCTTGAATTTCTGGGTTTTCTTCTTAATTTTGTCGACCGCCGCATGGTTCATGTGTAGGGATCCCCTCGTATTCCTAGAAGCACTGGGTTTGGTCTTGGGTATATATTTATCGATCAAATGGGTCATTTTACTAGTTATGATATTCAGCGTAGTGTCTGCGTTCTTGTACCTTAATAAGTCAGGCCAGTTGATACCCCTCATCTCTTCCCTCATCCCATTGTAATTTCCCTTGTAATATTTGCACCTTGGCCTGGCCTTATCTTGAACTAGGTAACAGTTAAATCTGAATGACAACACTGTATGGTGACTGGTGCCAACTGGGGCAAGGTGTTCCAGTTTGGCCACCATACCCTCCTCGTTTGTTATGATGAGGTCAAGTGGCTTGGGTGTTTGCTCCCCTCTGTAATGTGTCGGGTCTCTCACATGTTGGAACAGAAAATTATCTCTCAGAGTTTCTACAAAAAGAGTAGCAGGATTATTCAAGTCATTCGGGGTGGACTCGTTTCTCCAGTCGATGTCGCCATAGTTAAAGTCCCCCATGATAAGGAGGTGGCTGGGGTTGAGCATCGCCGCATTGTTTATTAAGGTTCTTAAGTTCCTTTGATTTAGTGGGCCACAGTTCGGGGATCTGTAGATACACCCGACGATAAGTAAGTCCCCTCCCTTTAATTTAATTTTACACATAATCGGTGACATATTTCTATTTATCCCTCACCTTTAAACTTATTTAGTATTATTAAATCATTATTCAGGGTCTACTTTGACCAGCAAGTCGCTGCCCGCCACTTGTAAACAAACTTGTCTTTTCTTTAGCTTTTGCAGACTCCTCACTTGCTTCAGCAATTGAAGAACTTTAGCATAATCCTCGGTTAATATTTAATAGTTGCCAAGACCTAACAGAATATTGAGTTATATATGGGGAGATCGATAAAAAGAAAAAAATTTAGTTTAACCTTTCCGTCGGAAATTTATAGTTCGATTTTTTCTAACTTTTATTTTATAACATTTGGCCAATCAGCGTGAGTGTTGATGTAACGTCAAAGTGCGCGCCAATCAGCGTGAGTGCCGATGCTATGTAATGCATGTGTGCTAATCTGCACAAGTCCCCAATATTCCAATCGCGGAATAGCGGGCAGTTGGAAGATGGCGTTTGTGTGAGAAGGATGTTCAGTAAATTGGCTGGCTGGCGCATTATTCGACGAATTTTAGACAATGAAGTAGCAGCCATTTTTAGGGCTCACGGTGTTCTTGTTTCATCTGTAAAATGTCGAAGATGTACTGTAAGTCAGAGTGTCAGTACCGTGTAGATAGCCATGCATGGTACTGTATGGTAAGAGATGGACACTGACGAAGACGCCACTATCTCATTCAAGTCGCATCACTTCACCTGTAAGGTAAGTATCTTACATGGTAATATATTTATTTATT